CCTTTAGGATTCCCCTTGAGTCATTACCAGCCATGCCAAGCCGCAACACACAGAACTATCACGACTTTGCCATTAGGCTACCTAGTGGCTTATCAGTGTTACAGTTCATCGACTGTTGGTGGCTCTTGCCAGTGTAGTTGCTGTGCCAGATGAGTGGGTTAGGCTAATGATGATTTTACATTATTTATTTATTTATTTATTTTTATAATTAATATTTTATTAGAGTTTCAAATAATACAAAAAACAAAGAGGGGGAAAAAACAAGAAGAAAAAGAAGAAAAAAGAATTCATCCTTTACAATCCCATTTTCAATAACTTCTTTCCGCAACTTCCCCTCACCTCCCCTTCTTGTATTCCATGTCCAAATATTTATCCAACAAGTTCTTATCCCTAAATTCTTAACCTTACTTTGTTATTATATTTATTATATTATATTTTTAACCTTAATTTGTTATTTGTATTTAATTCAATTTATATCTCAACTTTTAACTTATAGGCTAATGATGATTTTAATTCTGTTTTTAATACTTTCATTTTGGTAAAGGCTGGACCTTTTAAATTCTAAACCATTGTCCAGATCCAGTTCCCATCCCTTGGGCCAAAGGGAACCTTCACTGCAGAAATTGTTCAACCTATTTCTAGGTTGAAATCCAAATGTCATTAATGAGTCACTTTACGATTTATTTTGCAGGTGTCTATTCAATAGTGGATGATGATCCAGAGACCTGCTGTATTCCCTATTTTATTTGCATATCATATCATATCATTCATATCATATCATCATATCATGATTTCTTATATTTATTATCTTAAAAATATAATACAGCCCACCCCAAAATACCATCCAAGAAAATGCATACGTATCAACAAACCAGATGGAATATAGAGAGGGGCTCTAACAAAAATAGCTCAACTGTCAAAAGGCTAAGAAGAAGATGTGAATTTTCAATGTCTGAGAGACTGTGCCTGATGCTCCTCTATAAGGGGAGAGTTCCTTAGTTTTGGGGACCCATTAAGGGGGCTTGCATTTCGGAGGAAGATGGCACCACAAGACTTTCTGCAGGTTGCAACATCCTACAGGTAGCAATCATTATTCATTATGCACATAAAATATGCTTGGCTTTTCATTCTCAATTATCCATGAAAGAATCATTGGCTACAAACAATTACAGGCAGAACGTTGCCATGAGGTTCTAAATAATAATCCAATGCTATAGCAGAAGGAAGAAAAACGGGTGTGAAAATTACTGACCGATGCTGCATTCCGTTCTTTAATTTACAAGAAGGCTAATAATCCTTTAAAATCCCACTGCTAGCAAAAATCCTAAATCTGCCAGTCATTTTAATCCTTTTCACAAGGAGCAAGAATTTCCATCATGAGATAACTGACCCTTCGCTGAAAATATGGCTGTCACCTTAATACTTATCTGTTAATTGCAACAAGGAAATCAACTTCTGCAGCTTCTCACCACTGATAGCCAGATTCCTCTAAACCCCCTCTCCACTTTCTGTTGCTTCAAGTCCTGACTACGAGAGCAGAACAAGGGGGAGCTGCAACAAAACATTGCAGTGTCAAGTGCTGCAGTTCAGGATTCCAGCAACTTCATTCTGTTCTGAAATTGAGAGCTCTCTGCTTCCCTCTCAATTTCACCCTCACCCTGCTCTCTACTTAAGTGCCTCATCCTTTTTAGCATTTCAAGCCAGCCTCTTCCCACCTGTGCCTTCAACAAGAGAGGCCCCTCTCTAATCTACTGCAGACTCCCTTGCCACAACTATAGTCTAGTCTTGCAGCAGTGTTTATGGAAGTTTATGGAGGCATGCCAGTGGCTGCATTAAGGAAATGCTTCATTAGGGATGCGATGCAAAATTATCAGGATTTTCTTTACAATCATTGGGACCCTTCAGATATCCCTTTTTGTGCGGACGGGCAGGGGGGGCATTCACGATTATTTGTGCTTACAATGGTATCGAGACATATGTACATGATCCTGCTTTCAATACTGTTCATTACTGCAACAGTTTGGGGGCTCTGTTTTTCCCCCCAATCAGTGCACTTCCTTTAACTTCCTTGTGGAATCCTGCACATTTTTGGAGCACAAATGTTCCAGTTCATTTTTTGTCCTGCTTTTGTTGCACCACTGATGGATTTATTAGTGCATCAATGACATGCTGCAGTATATCTCCCTGCCCCCCCCAGAAACCCACCAGTCTAGAGGGGCCCTAAGACTATCTTAAATAATTTAAAAATAAACTCAGGTACTTTACTAGTACAACAACCACACAAGCATATATATAATATACACCTTTTTGCAAAACAATTTCCCTCAATACAATATATTTTGTTACATTATTCTCACTAACATACACATTTGTATGTTCACTTTACCCTATTGTTTGCATTGTTGTACACATTAGGTAAAGGTAAAGGGACCACTGACTATTAGGTCCAGTCGTGACCGACTCTGGGGTTGCAGCACTCATCTCGCTTTATTGGCCGAGGGAGCTGGCGTACAGCTTCCAGGCCATGTGACCAGCATGACTAAGCCGCTTCTGGCGAACCAGAGCAGCGCATGGAAACGCTGTTTACCTTCCCGCCGGAGTGGTACCTATTTATCTACTTGCACTTTGATGTGCTTTCGAACTGCTAGGTTGGCAGGAGCAGGGACCGAGCAACGGGAGCTCACGCCGTTGCGGGGATTTGAACCACCAACCTTCTGATCGGCAAGTCCTAGGCTCTGTGGTTTAACCCACAGCGCCATATTGCAAAATTCAGAGAAGCATGAATTTTGAAGGATGGCGCTGTGTGTGTGTGTGTGTGTGTGTGTGTGTGTGTAATATATATATATATATATATATATATATTAGAAACTAATCCACACCTAATGACCCACCTAAGTGGTACTCAGGATATCACTCAAGAAATCACTCAAGATATCCCTCAAGTAATTAAGGAACAAAAGAAGAAAAGGCACACTAACCTGGGAACTTCCTCTCTGCCCAGAACATTGGAGGCTATACACCACACCCCCTCAACAGTATTTATAGGAACTCAAACACTGAGATCCTGCTCTGTTCCAGTAACAAGAAGCCGAAAGCACCAGCCTGAAGATGACGAGTGAGACCTCGTCGAAACGTCGCCTAGACACCCCAACTTTTACACGGGAAGACACCCGAGGACACCAAAACCTGCATTCCTGTACCCGTGAAAATCTACGAAAGCAAATATATATATATATATATATATGTACTTATATATAATAAAAGCATATGTAAATTTTGCAAGCTGCACCACAGTTTGTCCTCTTTTTGGTGATGTATTTCTTCTCTTCTTGGCATGGCATAAGTGGCCACCCTAGACAAACCACAGGTTTGGATAAGATCCTTAAGAAATCATTCAGACCCACTGCCCTGCATTACAATATAGAACACAATTAGGGCCATCACCAAATTAAAAAGCAGCAAGAACAATTAAAGAAATATTTGTCGATTTAGCTTGAGAGCATCCTAGGTAAAGGTAAAGGTACCCCTGCCCATACGGGCCAGTCTTGACAGACTCTAGGGTTGTGCGCTCATCTCACTCTACAGGCCGGGAGCCAGCGCTGTCCGCAGACACTTCCAGGTCACGTGGCCAGCGTGACAAGCTGCATCTGGCGAGCCAGCGCAGCACACGGAAACGCTGTTTACCTTCATGCTAGTAAGCGGTCCCTATTTATCTACTTGCACCCGAGAGTGCTTTCGAACTGCTAGGTTGGCAGGCGCTGGGACCGAACAACGGGAGCGCACCCCGCCGCGGGGATTTGAACTGCCGACCTTTCGATCGGCAAGCCCTAGGCGCTGAGGCTTTTACCCACAGCGCCACCCACGTCCCCTGAGAGCATCCTAAGTAAAGGTAAAGGTACCCCTGCCCGTACGTCCCCTGAGAGCATCCTAAGCTTACTCAATTGTCCTAATATCCATAGATTTGTATGGGCAAAAGCAACACTCTGAAAGCAAGAAACATACTTCCTTTGCTTCTGATGCAGGTGTGGTAGCACACCATCCAAAGACAAGGGTGGGGAATTTGTCACCCATCATAGGTTACGGACTCCAACTCCCATCAGCCAGCATGGCCAATGATCAGGGATGGTGGGAGTTGTAGTGTAGCAACTTCTGGAGAGTCATATCTGGTCCTGCACACCTGCTTTTGGAGGAGATATTCCCTCCATTGCATCTGATCACTACGAGGGCTTTGGTGTTGAACTAAGAACAAGCGCCAAAGGATGCTTTTTCCCTTCTCCCAACCTCTTTCTGTTTCCATGCAATGTCTTTCAGAATGCAAGCCTGAGAGCAGGGCCTGTTGACTAAACCCTAGTAAGCTGATTTGGGAGCTTTTGCCGGAGCTGAAGGGGAGGTGGGCTGAGAAGGCCCTAAATCGGGGTGTGTGTGTGTGTGTGTGTGCTGGCCAGGGTGATGCCCCTCAGATACTGCGGACTCCCATCACCCCTCGGACCACACGGCAGCTGGGACTCATAGACATGGGGAATCCGAAACATCTGGTGGGCACCACCTTGGCTACGCCTGCTTTAAATTACATATATCATATACAATACATTATGGGAAACAGGAAAGGGAGGAACGTCTCATTTAAGATGGTGCTTGCTTACTGCAGGGTTTTAAAAAAAATTATAATATGCTGCATATGCATTAAATTAATCTGTTGCTGATGATCAGAGGCACCCTTTCAATGCAAAGTTTCAAAATCGAGGAATCTGAAACGCTGCATTCCCCCAAAGGCGCCGTATGCACTCCTACACGTATCAATGCAAGTCTCTCTCTCTTCCACCCGCAGCAACTTTTCCTGGGATTTGGCCGCCGCGAGCAAATCCTCGGAGCCCCTCCTACAAGCGACCCATCGATTAACTTGCACCTCGGAAGGAGCCGGGGCTAAGCTTTCTCCCGCCCCCGAGAAGCCGGGCTTGTGTGTCTGTGTGTCTCTCTGTGTGTCCCCCCCCCCGCTCTGCCTCTCCCCTCCCCCGCCTTGTGACACGCACATTGTGCGAGTGTGTGGAGAGGGCTCTTCCCTCGCCATCCTCTCTCTCTCTCTCTGCTGCTGTTGCTGCTGCAGTAGTCATGGCTGCGGACGGGGTGAACGAGCGATCGCCGCTGCTGTCAGCCCCCAGCTCGGGCAACGTGACGCCGACGGCCCCGCCGTATTTCCCGGACAGCAGCCCAAGAGGTAAAAAACGGCGAGTGGGGGGGGCAGCGTCGCCCCACCTTGCTGCCCGCACCCCAATCTCCAGGTTCCCTTTTCTACCCCGGAGAGGGAGTTTTATTATTATTATTAATTAATTAATACGTATCATTATTTGCATGCACGTTTGCCCCCAAACTCCCTCTCGCCCCGGTGCCAACTTGGGCTACTGGGGCGGGGGGGGGGGAGGGGAGGAAGGAAGAGATGGGCTTGTGCGGGTGCAGCTCTGGTTCGCTGCTGGGGGGGGGGGAGTTCGGGACCCGCCTCTGGGGTTTCGTACCATTGCAGGGGTCCCCCCCTTTCTTTCCCTGCATATTCAAGGAAAGAGGGGGATTTTCTTGGGGTGGTGGAGGAATGAGTTTGCAATGTGTGTAGCTGCGTGTCTTTTCTCTGTGTGTCCCTCCCCTCCATCAGCCATGAGGATACATGGTTAATGGCAAGGAAAGAATCGATCACGCAGGCTTCCGCACTCTTCGCGAGTTGAGTGGGGGTTTTCCCCTCCCCTCTCTTTTGCTTTTAAGGTGTGCGGGGGAAGGAGCGGGGGGGGGGGCAGGGCAGGCATCGGCGGCCCACGTGGCTCTTGCGTCCTTGAGTGAAGGTTTTCCAAGAGCCTTTCATTCAGTCAGTCCGTATTGCTCCCCGCCTCTCCAGTTCTGCTGATTCAGGGGGCTCTTCCCTAAAGGACAAGGTCAGGCACACCAGAGACGACTTTTGAGGCTTGGGGGGGCCTCGATCTTTGATATAACATGTAAATATTCTCTCTCCAGCCTGCTCCCCAGCCTCCGCCTTTCTTGATTAAATAAAAACACACGCCCATTTCGGAGTTAGTAGGGAGAGGGCTGGCTTACAATGTGAGAGATGAGACGTGATAATGCATCTCAATACATTTTATTAAAGATTATGCAAGTATCAAAAAGGCTCCACAAAACTGGGATGTGGGCTGTGTGTGGTTTCTGATAGAGATTTAGCAAGCTGAATCTGACACCTGTGCCCTTTGACCTGGAAGTGCTTGCTTCCCTTCTTTAGGTACATGGGGCTTGCCTGATTCTCATTTGCACTCTTCATATGCCCATGAAACTCATTTTGATCACCACTCTGCATGTTTCAGTGCGGTGATCAGCTGTTGAAAATAGGTTCTGATGTGCAAGGATTTCCCCTTCCTTCTCTCTTTATCTCACCTTTGCCCTTCCACTTTTTATGATGGTGTTGGTGATTGCGATGCGATGGTCGAATAGATGGTTTAAATCACAGCTGACATTTATTTGCATAACTTGATGGCTAGCTGTATCCTTAAGAGTGGTGAATAGGGAGTAGGATTTGTTTAGGCCTCACCAGATGATATGTCAACAGCAAGGGTTAAAGACCTAGTAGATCCAGGCCTCTGGTTCTGCCTGTTATTTACTGCCATGTCAGGGATGGGGAATCTAAGGCCCTCCAGACATTGTTAGATCATAGCTCCCATCATCCCTTACCACTCTCCAAGCTGACTAGGGCAGATGGGAATTGTAGTCCAACAACAACTGGATGGCCAAAGAGTCCTCAGCCCTAATAAGTGTCTCTTAAGCTCTGTAACAACAGCTAAAGTTATGTTGTTTGGTAGGCTCTTGTTTGAATGGTGCTTTGTGATTATTATTATTTAGTTGTAAGGCAGACTTGGAGCAGAATGAGTTTAATGTTTGAAAATACATGCAACTGCTTAATGAGATTAAGGGGTTAAACCAAAATACACAGTTAAATTCAGGTACTGTAGCCAGCAGGGGGGATTGATTTGCAATCAAACTTCAGTCATAAATCATCAAGAAAAACTGCCACTTTCAAGTTGTTGATTTTAAATTAAGGCTCCCATCTGCACTATGCATTTAAATCATTTGGCTTTCCCCAAAGAATCCTGGGAACTGTTAAGGATGCTGGAAGTTATTTTGGAGATCCTTATTCTTCTCTCATTTTCCAGAGTTCCCTGGGAAGGGGGAAAGATTGTTAACCCACTCTGGCGCTTGTAGCTCTGTGAAGGCAACAGGGGTCTCCTAACAATTTTCAGCACCCTTAACAAACTACAGTTCCCAGGATTTTAGAAGGGAAGTCATGCTTTAAATGGGCATTGGATGTGTTTTGATTATGTGTGGATCTGCCCTGAATGGGCTAATCTAACCAATTGCAACATTTTAATTTACTACAGAAACTGTATCCGAAACATGCTTCTTAGGCATTAAAACACTCTAGTAACTAGCGAGTAACCCTATTGAACACAGTGGGGCTTGTCTCTGAGGAAATGCACATAGGTTTGTGGTGTATTACCCCATCTAGGATTATGGCTTTCCTATTTTGGTGGAGAAACAGTTGTAACATGTTGTGATACCCATCAGAATCCCAAATCCCTTTCTCTGCTCCCTCAGTAAAAAAAAGAAAAGAAAAAAACTGCAAACTAGTTGAGACTCGACCAGGACACATGTTACTCATGGATAATTCGGCTCCTAGAGGCAGGGAGGTGAGGGCAAGTGAGGAAAGGGAAGGCCCTTAATCAGAAGCTTGCAAAACTTCTCAGAATCCCTAGAAGAAGGTTGTAGAACCCTGGGTGCAAAATACAGATATAAGAGAATGTACTTTTTTGTATTGCTCCTTTTCTTATTTAATTTCCACTCTGCCTCACTGATCTCATTCACATCACATCAACACAAAGCAGCTAACAATCCAAACCTTTTGCTCATTGCAGCTCATGTGGTTTTGCTCATGTGTTCCTATCTACTTAAGAGGCAGATGAAGCCCCACATTTCTAACAGAAGCAAGGACTGGTAGTTTTTGGTCAGAGCATTTTACAGTGCTACCTCGGGTTAAGCACTTAATTCGTTTTGGAGGTCCGAACTTAACCTGAAACTGTTCTTAACCTGAAGCACCACTTTAGCTAATGGGGCCTCCTGCTGCCGCCGGAGCACGATTTCTGTTCTCATCCTGAAGCAACGTTCTTAACCTGAAGTACTATTTCTGGGTTAGCGGAGTCGTATGTAACCTGAAGCGTATGTAACCTGAGGTACCAATGTACTGTCAAGAGATAAAATGGGAACATCCTTTGTTGTATGGATATAGAGAATATATTTATATCATTTGAAAATGGAGCACACCGAAGAGTTTGTGTAGGTAAAGAACATGGACATATGGCAGATTATGTAGGTGAGCACTGTGGATGTTCTTTCTAGTGATACATTGGAACGGGACATAGCTCAGTGGTAGAGCATCTAATGTGCATACTGAAGGTCTCAGTTTCAATCCTTGACATTTCCAGTTAGGGCCTGGAGAAGTGAACCCCTCGAGAGCCACTGCCAATCAGTGTGGACCAGTAGTTTCCAGTTATCTAAGTGCAGGCGCCGGGAAACAAACGAATAAACTATAACCTGAAATGGCGGGAGAGAGCTGGAAAGTCCTTGAGGCTCAAAAAGAGACCCTCTCCAAAGCCCGAAGAGGACGCCAGTGAGTCAAAAGTCCAGAAAAGAAGACTCCCAAGGACTCCAAAATTGCATGTGGGAGCTCTTGCTGGTACCCAGATCTATTGAATTCAGTGGGGCTTACTCCTGGGTAAGTGGAGTTAGGTTTGCAGCCTACGTTGGCAGCCATCACCATAGCTTGTGATAGCAAAATTCCATATTTTTCGCAATGAGCTATGTGAAAATGCAGTTCCTCAGCTTCATTGGATGACCTCAGGTTCTAATATTACGAAAGGGTTAAGACCAGAGAGGTCTGTTCCTAGACTCAGCTAAGTAACATCCCTTTACCTCTGTGAGGGAGGAAGTGAAGCTGCTTCTCTTCCTTTCTGTCACTTTCTTCCAGCCATGTAACCAATCAGGACGGATATGTCTGAACTAGCTCCAGATTTCATACCAAATGTCTGAAACTATATTCAGTATTTTGTATTCCTTGTTTCTTCATGGAATAACACATGAATCAGATATTTGGATTTAGTAAGTAAAGCTTTTTAACTTACTCAACAGTGTGTGCGCTCTGATCATTGCTAGATAGGTCTGCAAAGTCCCATGTTTTGAATCTAGGCATCCAGCTGATACTTTTGTTAATTACTCACATGTGGGTGAGATCTTTTTCCACCTCCACATTTCTGACATATAATTACAAAGCAGCTCTTTGCTTTGGCATGAACACGAACACTAGATTCTACAGTCCAGTATCTCTTCATCTTCTAATAGTTGTCCTTTTAGGAAATGAGTTTAATGTACGTTTTTATGTTGTGAACCTATTTCAGATTTTCTTCACGCTAAGCAGTGTAACAGATATTTTAAATAAATAAAAGTTATTGTCAACTTTAGAAATGGATTCCCAAATTAATGAACTTAAATGTGTGAATAAAGGATAAGAAACAATGAAATTGGTCAGAGCATATGCACAAAACAAGGACCACGGTGCAGAGATAATAGTGAAATGTGATATAGTCATTGTGAGACAGTGATGACCATCCTCCAGGGATTCTCTTGTCTGTAAAAGCTTATACACAGCCATGCTGGTCTAGTGAATTTGTGGGTTACAGGGGAAAAGCCTTCCTCATTAATATCAATGACAGGGGTGGAGTTTTGCATGGATAATGAAGTGAACATGTGCTGCTGCCATTGATAATAAAGTGAGGAAGTCTGAGCACATGGTGTGGAGGTTCCTTCTGTGCAACGAGACGATAAATCTTTAGATCTGAGAATTGATGAGGAATGTGTGACATCTCAGATGTTGGACGTCCACAAGGATCTGTGCCTTGAATCAAAGTATTTGTGGTGCTGACAAGAACTATGTGGTTTTTACTGGACAGCCTACCAGTGTAATACTTTATCTGATGGTGCATATTTTGGCTTCCCATGTAAAATCATGCCAATTCAAGAAGATCCATTTTAAGACTACTGGATCTGACTTCTACCCAGATATCATGGATAAGTAACAAGTGTCCATGTGTGCATGTGTGTGTGCTTTCTGACCATCAAGAAAGGGGAGTGTGATTCAGGAGATGGGGGAAAGACACAACCAGAGAGGGTGGTGCCCATAGCACAATCTCAAATTCCAAATGTGTTCACTTCACTGGCCTAAAAAGTGGCAGTCCCAGCTGGCCTTACTGCTTTTGGCACTCATACAAAGCCGCCACTTAAAATCAGGTGGAGGACTGCTTGCCCCCTGCCCATGTCCTGTGTTGTTCTGAGGGTCCCCCAACCCTCTGGAGTGGATTTCTGTGGTGCACAGGAGGACACAGTGGGACAGGAGAGGTAAGAAGTGTCCATTGCATGAGTGAAAATCTGCTCAGGGAAGTTAAGATCCAAGTCAGTAGCTGGTCCAAAGAGCTTTATAACTTGACAACATATTTGAACCTGTCCCTGCTACCTGCCCAGAGCGCCATCCATTACAACATCATATAGAATAGGGCTAGCTTCCAGTTTCCCCAGCTGAAGACTAGGTGTAGGATGCTAGGGGTGTTCTGTATTTAATAAATTCATGTAATTCGTGCACGAGGTACTGAAGTTTGTCTTGATTTATGTACAATTTTAAAAGCAAGCCCAAGTGACTAGCTGAAAGACTTATTGCTAAATAGGGCTCTGCAGCCTTGCTCAGTTAATACAAAGCAATTGTGCCACATGGTTAACTGTACACAAAAGAGACACTTCAAAACAAATTATACTGAAGACAGAATCTGTGGGATCAGTTGAGGAGTGTTCTCATTTTTCAAAAATGAAAAGCTTACAAATGCTTTCCTCGCCTAGATGTCAACGCTTGTGTCAAGGCTGTGGTTTCTCTGTAGCCATTTCGAATTCTCCTGAGCAGTGAATGCATCTAGTGGCCTTGATTGCAGGAGCCTTGTCTCTGTGTGTCCTGATAATAAGATTGCTAATTATTTTAATGGAAGCCTGTCAGAGCTGGCATACAGATGCTAACCTGTTTCATTCCGGTATCTCCTTTTCAAAATGCCGCTGTTAGTGTAATGAGTTCTGCCTTGTCAGAAGAATGAGATTGTCCACATGCATTTTCTTTCAGCAGAGATCCTGCTGATAGTGATGTTTCTTCCTGCAGCTGTGCATACCTGTGTACTTCATAAGTCAGTGGAGAATAGGTGGCGATAATGGAGAACTAGTGATAACTATCTATGGCCACCAGATAGTAACAGGTAGACCATGCTATGTTTTACGCTAATTTAATATTTTAATTGTTGGCATTTACATCTGCCACATTTCCCCCCTTTCCTCAAAATGGGAATCTATAGTATCCCACTCATGTATCATGTGATTCCACCTAATCAAGGACCACTTACTCTTGTTATTGCTGATTAAATTGCCACTCTGGTGTGGTTCCGGCCTGGGTAGAATTTTGGAATACTATTCTTGAAAACACTGGGTTCTTCTGAACATAAATCAAAGAAGAATATAGGTGTTTTGTATCTTCCATCCTTGGCTTCATATTTGACCAAGAATGAAAATGTGCACCCCTTATTTAATTGGATCTAAGATAAAAAGAAGAAGAGTTTTGGCTTTACTTCTTGCTTGACCTAATTATCTCCTACCTCCCCTTTTAAAAGAGTGGCTGATTGACGTCGATAAGCAGCTATAAATCTCTCAATGTTAGTGCCAATGGTATGAATCAAGCTTTATTACTTCAAGGACGCTGGAAAGGCTTGTAGCTTGTAAAACTAACAAGACTTACTGGAAATAACCAGAAAACAGGGAACAAAAGGAAGAGTTTTATGCACATTTCATCCCTGCCAGTATATTCTCTATTGAATAATACACCAACCCATCTTTATGTCTCAGGTTACTGGCAAATCTTGATTTATGTTCCAGGAAGTGTTTGAAACAGTGGCAGGATCCTTTACTAACCTAGCTTCTACTTCTGTTTACTTGTCTGGCCTAATAAACTCCTGAAGCGCTACTAACTTGGTGTTGGAGATCCTCTAAAATGCATGTTTTACAAGGTTCTTGTAAGCTTGTGCTGACCTTTTGCCCAGTTCACAATGCACCTTGCTTGACTAAGCTAAATGCCACTGTTGCCTCCACTACTGCTGAAGGAAACCAGGTTTCCTTGTATCGTAACATGTAAGACCTGGTTCACATGTTATACTTACCATGACCACATGGATGCGCTGGCTCCTGGAGAGGAACTTGCACCTGTCTACTTTGGCCTCTCTGGGCTTTTTAGCTCTGCTCAGTGAGGCAGCTATGCCATGTCTGGCTTAGCATGTTGTCTGAACTGCGGATCATGGTGATGCTCTCTTCTTAATCATGATCTGCAGCCAAGGTCTGTCCTATGGTTATACAGTAGGTCATGGTTAAGTAGGAGAGATCTTAAGCATGATCACTGGCAGGTGGGAGAAGATGGCAGGGCAAAGAGGGTGAGGCATTGTCTGTTTGCCTTCACTCACCTGTGTTTCCCAGTTTGATGGGCCTGCAACAGCCTCTCCCCTTGAGCCAGAAAGCAAAAAGACTCCTTCCTCCCTGTCAGCCTGGATAGCTCAGTTGGTTAGAGTATGGTGCTGATAATGCCAAGGTTGGAAGTTCAACCCCTGTATGGGGCAGCTGCATATTCCTGCATGGCAGGGGGTTGGACTAGATGATCCACAGGTTCCCTTCCAGCTCCATGATTCCATGATTCTATGACTTGTGCAGAAATGTCTTTGAGAACAGCTGCCACTGTTGCCCCTTGGCTCAAGTTAGGAATTGCCTGGCGGAAACTTTTTGGACTATATTTGGATTCTTCAAGACATCAAGTGCTGGAGAAGTTTTGAACATATTTTGACGAATGTAGCTCTTCCCCCTATTTTACACAATCTGCAATATGCCATAAATTGCTCAGGTGGATTTCTTTAGGCTTTAATACTATCAGAGGTCAACATACTTTTCTGATAACTTTTATTGCCCTATTCTGTAGAAAAGGGCACCTGGGAATCCAAGCCAAGGTGAAGAATACTTTCTTCAGCCTTCTCCAGCCGGCACATCTTTGGGTCTCTCTATGCCAATTTTGGTGACTTGCAAAAATAGTTGTTGGTAAACACAGTCGCTGAGTATAGGCGGATACTTTTGATGTCTCACATAAGAGACACTTTTCTGCGCATGCAGAATTTAGATTTCTGAGAAATGTAGTGTCCTCTTGATGAAGGAGGGGCTGTAGCTTAGTGGTAGAATTCGGTCCCAGATTAAATCTCTGACCTATCCAGTTACATTTTTAAAAGCATTTTAGTAGAGATGGGAAAGATCTCTGCCTAAGTCCCTGGAGAGCTGCTTTGAATCAGAGCAGAGACAATACTTAGCCTGCTGTTCCAATGGCTTTGCTAATATAGTCCCTGTCCCTTATGAAAAATATCCATATGCAGGAAAGACTCAAGTGCTGAAACCAGAACAGAGCATGAACATGAAGAGATGTATACAGTCAGTTGTGGTGCATGTACCTGATGAAGTAAACTATATATTATTATTTTTTAAAATATTTATTCAAGATTTTAAACATTATCACCAAACACATATAAACCCATCCCCCAAAAACAATAAACAAAGAAAAATACATAAAAAAGAAAAAAATACAACATCAAAATCAAATCCTTAATATCCATACTTTCTTCACCCTTTTAGACTTCCTCGCGTCTCTCGTTCCTGCATTCCAAATTTATAAAGTTCTAAACAGCAAATTATCACCTTGTTTCAATTCTTATTTTGTATTTTTCCAATATTATGTCTCTAGTTTTAAATACATTAACCAAAGGCTTGAATATTTAACTTAGGCATAATGTTAACTCAAAATTTGACTTTTTCTCAAATTTCACCTATTCTCAAATTCCTTTCAACTAGCTTACTGATGCCACATTTATTTTTGTTCTTGCATCTTTCTTAACACTCATACAATTTACAATGTTTTTGTAGGTAGTCCTTGAATTTCTTCCAATCCTCTTCCACTGCTTCTTCTCCCAGATCACGGATTCTGCCAGTCATTTCTGCTAATTCCATATAGTCTATCAGTTGCGTCTGCCATTCTTCCAGCGTGGGCAAATCTTGGGTTTTCCAATGTTTAGCTATCAGTATCCTTGCTGCTGTTGTTGCATACATAAAAAATGTTCGGTCTTTCTTTAACACCCTCTGGCCAACAATGCCCAGGAGCAAGGCCTCTGGTTTCTTAGGAAAGGTATACTTAAATACCTTTTTCAACTCGTTGTATATCATTTCCCAGAAAGCCTTAACCCTAGGGCAAGTCCACCAGAGGTGAAAGAACGTTCCTTCAGTTTCTTTACATTTCCAACATTTGTTATCAGACAGGTGATATATTTTTGCAAGCTTGACTGATGAAGTAAACTATAGCTCACAAAAGCTTATGCCATGTCAACATGTTAGTCTTTTAAGGTGCCACAAAACTTTGTTGTGCTTGAGGCTATCTGTGACACGTTGGTAGGAGGGCACAGAGGTTAAGTTTCCCTATCTTTATCTGCTGGTACAATTAGCTCCAATCTGTACGGGGAGAACTAGAGTGCATCTTTCAAGTGATGTATGAAAATAACTTGAGTTTTCTGTTCTCGGGTTGGATGCTACCAGTTAAGTTATAGTTCGATTCATGTGGATATCATGTCAGTTGCTGGAGAAGCAGTTATAACATCCCATGATACCTTCAGCAGAAGCTGCCAAAGACTCATCAAAGCTGTTCATTGTGAGAACATCTCCTTTCCGAAAGCCCTTGTGTTGTGCTTATTGATGGTGTTCCTCATTTTAGACCTTAATCTGTGGTAAATATGTAGTCCGTATAATTATTAAGCATTGGCAGTGTACCTGACACTATACAGAACTTTGAATTGGCATAGAGGGCTTATAGTTGACCTGTGCATCTTCCTGAACGGTTGGTCTGACTTTTCCTAGCAAGGTGCTGTATTATAATCAATTGCTCCGCTTTCTGTTCCTTGTGATTTACACCGTAGACAAATCTTCACAAATGCATTTGAAGTTGGCAAGCGAATTCTCCAGAAGGTAAAGGACCTGTTTTTGCAAAGGAGGTTAGAACAAAGGTTTTGTAGGAGAAGTGAAAAGTCAGTTATGTTTGGGGAAAACATTGCATAGGGCAGAGGGATGAGGGGCTTTAAACTGTTGCGTAAAGTAAGAAGGAAGGGCTGTTTGGGAATCAGTGAAGCTTGTAAGGAGGGTTAGCAAGGAAGGCTTGGAAGACTATTTTTGGTATAAGAAGAAGCAAATATATGTCTGGAAAGCAGGCACTGGAGTGAATGAGAGGCACAGTTGGCAGAGCCCTGGGGAGGAAGGAGACGTCAAGGGTCTTGGACAGAACCGCACACAAAGCCTACTAACAGGAACATTTTGTACTGTGGGCAGTTCACCCCCCGCCCAATCTCATTTCACTTTTAAGTTGTATACTGCCTTTCTCTATTACTATTAACAAGCCGGTTTACAACGACAAAATATGCAACGAAGATCACACACCTTACAATAATCTGATCCAATACAAAAAGGTGATAATAAAAACATAACCTTAACATAAACTCCGCTGGGAGGACTCACCAAACAGGCTTTGCTCTTGTGTCCATGATTATCTGCGGGGTCTGGATGGACTTTGCAGGTCAGGTTGGAGCTCCAGGAACACACAATTCACTTGTAGCCCTACAGAAAGGAAAAACTCTGGTGTACTGAAACCCTTCCATGCCCTCTGATTTTCCCCAAGCTCAGTTGTAAACTTATATTTTACTTATTGTTCTTCTATTTTTTAAAATTTATTTATTGATATCGTGATACATATATGAAATATTTACACAGTATTGTTCTATATATTTGGTGGGGGGTGGTGGTGATGGCAAGCATTATAAAATCTAGGCTTCTTTTTCTAATTTCCTATCAGAGTTTACAACGCTATGTTGCATCACAGGTTTGTTATTTTTTATTAACCATTTTTGATATTAAGAACGGAATTAATGTTTGCCTCCTATACCTAGCCCTTCAGTAGTCCAACTGCCTCCCTGCTTGTAACTGTTTACAGTATTGCAGAAATGCTTGCAGTGTTACTGGAGCTGTTCTGTCACATCATATTGCTTTCCGGCTTAGTGATGGGATGTCCTTGCAGCTCCTGTATTCTCATGCCCTAGTTTTGTAACCACATGTGGTGTGCAACTTGGTGGAGAAAAAGAAGCTGCTTCAGCCATTCAAGTAAATGGAGGGGAAAGGGTGGTTTAAGGTACCGTAATAATATACCTTTGTGATGCAAGGAGTTGGAAATGCAGTGAGAAATGCTCAGGAGTTTATTCCTGACAGCATATTCAGATGCTCAGAAAAAGGACATAGTTCACTCCTCCTGGGACAGTATGAGTTCAGAATGGAAGATCATACACTAGCTTTTTTTGTTACCTGTGATTATTTTTGTGGAAGAAGAGCCATATTTATTTTACCTAAAAAATCTTTGTTTTGTTCTCAATTGGGGTACAAGCCAGGAGGGAAAAAAACCAACATGTTTGCATTTCTTCTTCTCAGATTTAGCTCAGGAGAGAGCAAGGGAGCACTTTGGTACCATGACATGCCTTCAACAAGGCTATTTGATTTCCGAACTGCCATTTAATTTGAGAGCTGGGAGGAAGAGTTCGAAATTTAAATAGGAGATGAATTAATCATCTGTGAGATGTTGCTCATTCTGCCTTAAGAGTAATTTGGCTTAGTCTGCTCGCTTTCGCCTTGCACTTCCTTTTGCCGAGATTGATAGGGAACTGAGAGGACTACTTTAGTCCCTGTTGTACTTTATCTCAAGTGAAACAATGTCTTGATTTCAGCAGTTGTCTGTTCCTTGATTAAAAGGTATTGTTTGGCATAATGGACAAGTGGGTTATCTGCAAGGTTGGTGTTATCTATTAGTTTAATGTTGCCTGTGCAACTGCATGTTGTACGCTCAGGACAGACCAAAGGAAGTACGTACTTAACACAGCACAGTTAAACTATGGAACTCACTAGCACAAGAAGTAGTCATGGCCACCAACGTGAATGCCTTTAAAAGGGGTTTACACAAATTTGCAGAAAATAAGGTTATCAGTGGCTGATAGCTTTTAAAGAAGTGCTGAAAGTGTTATTGCACTCCTATCCTGCTTACAGGGACGCGGGTGGCGCTGTGGGTAAAAGCCTCAGTGCCTAGGACTTGCCGATCATCAGGTCGGTGGTTCGAATCCCCGCGGCGGGGTGCGCTCCCGTTGCTCGGTCCCAGAGCCTGCCAACCTAGCAGTTCGAAAGCACCCCCGGGTGCAAGTAGATAAATAGGGACCGCTTACTGGCGGGAAGGTAAACGGCGTTTCCATGTGCTGTGCTGGCTCGCCAGATGCAGCTTTGTCACACTGGCCACGTGACCTGGAAGTGTCTCCGGACAGCGCTGGCCCCCGGCCTCTTAAGTGAGATGGGCGCACAACCCCAGAGTCTGTCAAGACTGGCCCGTACGGGCAGGGGTACCTTTACCTTTTATCCTGCTTACCGACTTCCCACAGACATTTAGGTGGACACTGAGTGTAGGAAGCAGATGCTGAACTTGTTGGGCTTAGAGTCTGATCCAGCAGTGCTCTTCTTACATTCTTATGATGCTTTGCCTTTCATTTTATTGCTAGGATTATTCTCCAACCCTTTCACGTGTTTGCTTATTCTGATGCATTTTACTTTTCATCATTTCCTTGCAGCAGAACTCCCGCCACCGTATACCGCCATTGCCAGCCCAGATGCCAGTGGCATTCCTGTAATAAATTGCCGTGTGTGCCAGTCATTAATCAATTTGGAAGGGAAGCTTCACCAGCATGTTGTCAAATGCACAGATTGCAATGAAGCTACGGTAAATGACTTTGCGGGCTTCTCGCTCTCGTGACATGTTTTATTATGCCCTTTCACAATAGAAGAGACTCACATCGATGTGACTGCTCAGCAGCTGAGAATTAGCATGCAGTATGAGCATCATTTGGATGCAAGGAAAGCCACTTTGAGTGGAAAACAGTAACCAGATGCTGATGTGACTAATTCATAGACGCTACATTTATGGAGATAGTAGTTCCCATGGCCTATGATTAAGTCCTGATTGAGTAGCTTCTCTATCTGCAGTCCAGTCCAGGTGTGGTCAGTTTCTGTATTCTGCAGCGCTTTATGCAGATCATATAGTTTGCCAAACCACCATTTTAAGAGCGTAAAATCCTGACTGCCTACTATTATCACTAAAATGTAAGAGAAAGAAAAAAGAGCATCTTCCACTCGCTCGTATTAACAATAAAAAATAATTCATCAATCCTGGCTTAAACATGCACATTAATATAAGCAGTCCATATGTCCAAATAGATAGCCAAACAAGAATGACAATTAGAAGATGCACTTTCAGATACAGAAAGGGAAGTGAGATCTTTGGACCGCTGGGTAATAGATGGTGGACCTCTCTTTTTTTCTACTGTGTGTGTGTGATGGTGGGAATTAAAATTAAATTTTAAGTTAATTAAAATTAACTTGCTTACATTTCTATCTTTAAAAACAAAAAACCTGGATATAATGGAAATATAAAAACATTAAAATAAATGCACCCAGTCCATAAACTTCCTGTACTAACACATAACTGGCTAATGCTGGTCCAGCCCTTTGACACGTAAGGCAGTATTCGATGCACTTGTTCTGTTGGGGCAAGGATTTAGACTTGTGCAACAAAACTCCCTCTCCCTCTCATCCTGTGCACAGCCTCCCCAAATCTGCTCCAGAGGGTTGGGGAAAACCCCAGAGCAGATTTAGTGGGAGGCATGTATGCAGGGAAGTTCTGTTCAACAAGCATAAATCCTTCCTGTAATGGAGATATTTAGCACAGCTTTGGATGCAATCCATAATGCTTATGTGTAATTTATGCTCATGTGGCTGGGATGTGCAACAAAAATCTTTATTACTGTTTCTGAAGTTTGCTATAGATTTTTATTGGTTATTTTATTGCTTTTGTTTTGTCCAGCACTTCCTTTAACCTGTAGTTAAAGTAGTATTGGTATGTAGGGATATATATGCGTGTGTAACAACTGTTTTCATGTGATTTGCACCTAATAGTACCATAAACAGCTTGTGGAGTCCAAACATCATCCTGTGCTCTGTCCATCCCCAGTGGCATGCTGCCTGTGGTTTATTTTTTAAACATAGAACTACATTTTTTTTAAATTTCATGCACTGTTTTTCTTTTCTTAGCAGAATACTGTAATGTCCTGCATGCTAGCTATTGCCCTAACACTTCCCTCCCACTGTTGCAGTTTTTCTATTGACTTTTTAAACTGGATTGTTCATATCCCATACCCTCTTCCACCTTGACTAATATTCATCACATTTCTGTTTTTTCCTCTCCCTAACACTGAAAAGGCTCAATAAGTGGTGGAATCCTCCCTTTGGCCCCCTCTATTTCAGCCTTGTAAAATCTATCATTTCTGCACATTTAGTTTTTGCTTAGTCTCAAGATTGCACTCAACACTAAAGAGTGAATGAAGAACAAAAAGAAAGTAAAAGCAATGTAAAAAGTGCTCTAATAAATAGGTGCTGGCACAGACCTGCCTTAAATTATTTGAAATATCACCATGCTAGAATCAGTTGCTGTGCCTTGAATATCTATGTAGTCTTCCACCTTGAGTTTTAACTTTTCTGTTGGTCTGTTTAATCACTGTAGAATATTTTTCTTTTGACAGTCAGTACATTATATATGTAATTGCTTTTTCTTGTTTTGTGTAGCCAATCAAAAACCCTCCTTCAGGGAAAAAGTATGTTAGATGTCCGTGTAATTGTCTGCTTATCTGTAAGGATACGTCACGGAGGATAGGATGTCCAAGACCCAACTGGTAAGGGCAAACCAAATTATAATTTGCTTTTTCTCTTTGGTTTTTCACACACACAAAATGGTCTGACTATTGTGATATAAATAGTATAAAGAATAAAAAAAGAATATTGCCTCTGGCTATTTCTCTGTTTAATGTTTCACATAAATTTGTGGCTGCTAACCTCTGCAGAACTAAATCAATCTTTACCAAGGACGAAGAAGAAAAATAACTTCTGCTTCTACTGTGCTAGAGATCATGGGAAAGACAGAAAGATGGATCCCTCTTGCACAAGATAAAAGGCAAAAACATCATATTTTATTTTAGGAATGGAACAAGTAAAGAAGTGGCTGCAAAGGAACCATTGGGTGCATTTAAACCGCACACCCAATGGTTTCTTAGCTGGTGGGGCTTGCATTTGGCACATTTTTTTATTTTGTACCAATTGCATGCCCCGCTGGGATTGTCTCACTGAGGAAACTTATGAAATTAGGGTCTGCAATTGGCACCAGTTGCACTGATTGTCACTGGCTACAGCTGCTGCTGGGATTCACTGCACTCCAGAGTGCCTGGCCAGGAGCCCCTCCCCCCCCCTGTAGCCAGTCCCTGCCACCCTGGAGGTGGCTGTCAGTGCTGATCAGCTGATTGGCCCTGACTGCTACACCTGCTGAGATTGTTTGCAGGGGTGTTTTTTGCAGACCAGCTAGGTACTTCTGTGGGAAACTGCTAGATACACAGCTATTACAGTATCGTTACTTCCTAACAACTACAAATAACCCATCTTTTCTCCAGTAAACACTTCTTATGTACTGAATGTAGTCAGATTGATTTAATGCTAATTTTATTCTTTATAACACAGAAGTAATAAGACCTCTCTTTGTAATAGGCAGTAATGGTGCAAGTCTATGAATGTTTGTTCAGAAATAATTTTCAATATATTCAGTAGAGTTTTGGTCCCAAATGTTTAGTATTGCAGTAAATCAAAATGAAGAAGTATAGGAAAGAGGAGGGTAGTTCAATATATCCAGGAGAAACACAGTAAGCCAATGTATTAGTGCACACTGCTGTTTTATGAAATGCCTAATTCTATATTGTGTTGGTATAGGAGCAGCAGAATGTAGGATGTATGCTAGGAGCCCCAGTTCAGAACTGTGTAACACCTTACTCCCTACTTCCAGTAGTAGGAGCCTCTGTCGCTTCCTGCGCCAAGGACTGCACTAGTTATTGATGCTGACACACTGATGACATTTGGGGAAACAGTGGGGCTCTGTACTGCCCCAAAGTACCCATTTGCCTCTACAAATAATGCATCCAAGCACTTGAGAAAGGGTTCAGCCAAGGAGTAGAATGGTGGCTTATCTGTGTAATGTGGCCATTCAAGTTACAAGGTGGTAGGGTTGCTTGAGAAAGACTGGCTTCAAGGCAATGTATTCAACTTAGATATGAATGCCTAGTGAGCAAGGTGATATATTTGAGGACTAATGCATAAAGTATGCATCTCTACAACAAAGGTTTGTATTGTAACCTTTTCAGTTTTGCCTTATCTGTTTTGCATCTTAAAATGTTGCTTGGGGTTTGATGCTAGAACAGGCCCATTTTAGGTGGGCCAAATCGGAACAAGCTTTCATTGTTGAAGATATATGGCTAGGGAATACCCTTTTTTCTGTGCTGTATACAATGACATGATGGGTTTACTTTTCTCCATACAGTAGGCGAATCATTAATCTTGGTCCAGTTATGTTGATTCCAGAGGAGCAGCCAGCACAGCCTGCAATTCCTGTTCAGCCAGAAGGCACTAGAGTGGTGTGTGGGCACTGCGGAAATACATTCCTGGTAAGTAGAGTCCAAATACCTTATATGAGAGGCATCACTATTTGCCCTCAAAGAACCAACTCATTTTTGTCAAGCATTGGCTTTGTAACTCCCTTAGGATATTCAGCCTATGTTTTAGTTTTCTCTTCTGCCAGTTGCCAGAGCTGGTCTCAATGCCTGGGGTGGTTCCCTAATAAAATGTTAGCTTTTCATCTAAGAATATGGTTTTCTTCTGTCTAGATGGAGATGTTCAACATTGGCATGTTCAGTTAAAATAATTAGGCTGCAGATAATGTAAAAGTCCTCTCCATAAGCTACTGGCGGTCAGTGTAGACTATAATGGGCTATTAGATGGACAAATAGTTTGACATGGTTTAAGATCTCTTCTGATGTTAAGACTTTAAACAACTTCCTTAATCATGCCATGTTTTGTTTCTGGTAACTTTCTTCAGTTGCCCTTTCCTCTTGAGACCATTCTCTGCTGAAAACATTGCAGACAAAAGGGGGTGATCTTGATCAATGCTTGAAGTTGGAGGAAAAAGGAAGTGGGGTGGTTTTGATTTCTATTAGACCAAACTTAAATTTAGCCTGTTTTCCATTAACTATCTTTAACTGCATAAGCTGTCTGCTAACAGGTTTGAATTAGTGCAGTCACACTTCGATAACTTACTAATTATTTCCATCATTACCATGAAAAGAACAGAGTTGCTATAAAGGAAGTTAACACCATAAATGTATATGGCACAATATTAGGCATCACAATGCATAATATTAGGTGTGACGTACCATCAAAAAGTTTGTATTATGGAAATAAAGGTAAAGGTAAAGGTACCCCTGCCCGTACGGGCCAGTCTTGACAGACTCTAGGGTTGTGCGCCCATCTCACTCAAGAGGCTGAGGGCCAGCGCTGTCTGGAGACACTTCCGGGTCATGTGGCCAGTGTGACAAAGCTGCATCTGGCGAGCCAGTGCAGCACACGGAAACGCTGTTTACCTTCCCGCCAGTAAGCGGTCCCTATTTATCTACTTGCACCCGGAGGTGCTTTCGAACTGCTAGGTTGGCAGGCGCTGGGACCGAGCAACGGGAGCGCACCCCGCCGCGGGGATTCGAACCGCCGACCTTTCGATCGGCAAGCCCTAGGCGCTGAGGCTTTTACCCACAGCGCCACCCGTGTATTTATGGAAATACCTGCACTTAAATGCCGCAGAGGCAGGGCAAGAACTGTAGTCTGCATGATGATGTCCCTTACCCAACCATTGTTATATATTAATTGTCTGCATATGACATTAAGTGTAGGTATGCTGGGCATCGTTTGCCCAAAACAGCCTGGCACGCCTAATTCGGCCCATGGACTGAAGGTTGCCCATCACTGGTTTAATGTGAATAAGCTGTATGCTGCTCAAAAGTTCCTGTAGCACTCCTCTCTTGCTCCAGCTGCTAACACACCACAGGCAAAACAAATTAAGACTCTGGCTACCATGTTGTCTCAGCCCAGATTTGTGAAGCTGAAAGTTGGAAGATTCAGGACAAACAGAAGGAGGTGCTTCTTATACACTGCATAGTTAAGCTATGGCATTTGCTCTTCCAAGGTGTAAGTAAGGATGGCCAACAATGTGAAATGCTTTAAATCGGGATTAGACAAATTCATGGAGCTAAAGGCTATTGTTGTATACTACCTCCAGGATCTGGGGAAGTGTGCTTCTGTATACCAGTTGCCAGAAATCAGATGGCGATATTGCTGTTGCACTCAGGTATAGCTTGTGGTCTTCCCATTGGTTGGCCACAGTGAAACAGGATGCGGGACTAAATAGGCCTTTGGTATGATTCAGCAGAGTTCTTATATCGTTCTATTGGTGCTAATAGCAGGTTCAGTAGGGGGTTTTTTTCATTGGGACTGCAGTTTTGAGTGAAAAGGTCCTGATCTTAGCCAGAGGCCACATGGTTTTTTAAATAAACATACCAATTAGAGGATGAAGAACTGCTAAGGAGTATCAACAATATAATCCTAGGGGGTGCATGTGTCTAGTTTCGAAGGAAGAGTAATAGCTGCATTAGTGACATGAAAGTGCTACTGCCATTTATAAACAGGGCATATAGTACGTCAGACATCCTAGTAAGCAGCAAGTCATGGGAAACCGTTTTGTAAGGAAATCCCAAACCACAGAGTGTGGGGATACTGCTTGCAAAAGGGCATCCCAGTGACGGAAGGAAATGAGAAATAAAAACTAAGTGAAGCATGAGAAGTAAAATCTTGTGCTGTGATTCCCAGTGACATTTAACACGAAGCAAAATAAACAGTTTTCATACTGGCATTTTTTCAGCACTTCCTTCCTTATTTATTACAGTGGATGGAACTGAGATTCAACACTTTGGCAAAGTGCCCACATTGCAAAAAAATGTAAGTTTCAACAAGTGCTTCTACTAATGTTGTTATTTTGGGGGATATATGTATTTGAAATATAATCCCTCAGTCATTGAACAAAACATGTCTAAATGCTGATAATGAATGTCAATGCACCCTTCTCTTGTCATTTTTAATTTTCCTTAGTCAAAAACTATTGAAAATTATTACTGAATTGGAAATGCTTGGATACAGAGAGAAACAGTTGCTGAAAGAAATATTAATTTCCTATTTAGCATGAAATGGTATTTTTAAAATCACAGTTTTGGAGCAAGTATATGAAGAGCAAATAAGTTTTTCTTTGTTGATATGAAAAATATGCATGCTACTTTCTTTAGTGCAGCAATTTTAGTGCAGAAACAATAGTAAAAAGCAATTTATTACCTGTTTTGATTATTGTTGTGATGGTCATTTTGATAATGCTTACAGATTAACCTGATAGACGTTCTTACTGGAACACTTCTTGACGATGAATAATAGGCTTAGAACAAAAAACAAAACAAAACAGTATCAGTAAGAGAACAGCCTTCCTGGAACAGTAGCAATGACATCTAATAGTGCTACTAAAATGAGTGAATAGTTTGCACTGTATCATTCTTGCAATTGAAAAACTCTGAAAGAAATTTTGCTTAATTTTCATGATGCTACAGAGACTAAATTGTCGTGTGCACATTTTAAAATGAAGCTATATTACAACTTTCTAACTATAATTCAGAACAGGAATTGCATCCAGATTCCTACGGTACTTAAGTGATGTGGTAGGCTTGTGGTGGTGTGAAACCTCTTGCCATACTGACAGAAGAGTGGTGAAACACAGGGTAGGGAAGTAGTGGCCAGACAGCATCTGTGAGCCCAGTCCAGGTTGAAAGGGTACATGGCTGAGCACGAGTGGGTGTGCGCACGAGGGTAAGAGAGGGGAGAGGGTTGGGAGCTGATGGGGTTTTTGGACTGAAGGGTGACATGAAATGATAACATGGGAAGAGGACTAAGGCACAGGAAAGACTTGGAAACTCCTTGGTTCAGGTATATCTTGTGCGAGGTGAACGCTCTACCTCCTTCCACATTTTGAAGCCATTTAAGTGAGGGAGGAACAAAAAATGAGGGAGGGAAATGAAGAATCTCAAGATAAGTTCTGAATTACTGGGCTTGCTGCAGAACTTTCTGTACTTGGTATAGATACGTAATTTTAACCACGCTAGAGGTGCAAAATAGTTCAAACAACATGACATGTATAAAGTTTTGTACATGACAATAAGCTGTGTGCAGAAAACAAAAGTGACCTATGAAGCTCATCTAAATAAAACTACAGAATTTTCAAATCACCTTCAAATCACAGTAGTTTTATTCATCTTAGTTAAGTAAGGACCAATGGAAAGCCCCAGGCACCAAGGTACAAGCCACATTAAGTAGTATCAAGGGGACTTCATCTTTTAGTTTGAATACTTTGAAATTACGGTACTTATTGTAGTAAAGCTGCATAAACCAGGCAATTAAAAAGCATTCCAGGAACATTAAAAAATAATAATAAGTCACACGCTAGGCATATGAGCCCATTCTGGCCTTTTAGTCGAGTGTTTGAGCATTTGAACAATCACATGACAGTTTACAGATATATTTTTTTGTAAGCAATGTTGCTGCTGCTATGAATTTAATTGGGACATCTGTAGCCTTCCTTGCTCCAGAATGTGGTGTAACTTTGAAATCCAGATTGAGATTAGACTCTAACAAGTTTAAACTCATAACTTCCATCAGGGGGGATGTAAAACGTATACCCTTTAATGAATCCTTTATAAAAAGTCAAAACTGTTTTTGTTTTTTTTTAATTCTCGCTGCGGCATACTGTTTGTTTGCAGTTCTTCTGTTGGATGTGCACTTCCACGAAGACGATGTTGTGCATATATTACAATTGGAATGATATTTATCTTCATTGGAGTTGGATTAACTGTGAGTAATCTAAATTAAATCAGTAATGGTATCCTGCAGTTGAACAGAGCTAGTGGTATTGTTGTAGTGGTGCAAAAAACTGGGACTCTTTGCTTGTGTGTCCTAAAGGAATTCATAAGCTAGTGTGTATCAAAATGTTTTTTATAAGCCTCATTCCTACATTTCATATTATCATGCATGACATCATTTGCTGCAAAATAATCTCAGAATAAAATGGAAAACTTTTCTGTGTCATTGGGAAAGGCCCCTAGTGTGACCCAAACTACACACTGCAACAGCTGACCCATGTTTTCCCCCAGTGGTATTCCCCAGTCAAATTTAAATTGGATCCGGTGTTGTGGTTTAAAGCAGGGATGGGTAGCTTTACTGCATGTCAGCTGAGCAGCTCAACAAAGCCCACTGCCCCTCTGTGTCATTTCTGCAGATTGAGGTACTCACCCTGATTTAAAGTGTCAAAGGGTATTGAAGCACAATTGGGGGAAAGATAGCAGGGGCAAGGATTTTGTCTTGTACATTCCACACACAGCTCAAGGAACATGTGGTGATGGTGGATCTATGCTCAAATACCTGGCTTTATCACCATTGTATGTAGTTTGGGGCTATCTCTATATCCTCAGTCTGTCCAGATGGGTATCCCTTTCCTTGCCCACATTGCCAGGAGGGAGATATTGAATAGCTTTCAACATATGTAGTCATTGGAGATTAAAATAACCTTTCTTTGGTTTAGATAACTTCTGCTGTGATTTGTACACACAGATGCTCATGCCCTTGGTGATGTCAATCTAAACAAAGAAAGTGCAGCCAGTGTGTTGAATGCAGAAAAAATGTGGTTCCTGGCTTCCTTAAATTCTATTCTGATCACGAAAAGGATCAATAGCTATAGAGTTACAGTTACTGTATGTCCATTTTCATCTTATTTGTGCCTTGTTGCATGAATTCTTCCATGATACTTGGAACTGTAGTAGGAACTTGCTGCACTGATGTAGGCTGTAGTTTTATACACACCTAACATAGGAGCATGTCCGCCTGAACTTAGAAAACAAGCATATGCAAGATTGGACTGCAGATGTGCATGGAAGTACTTCTTTACACCTGGGAAGCTGTGACCTAACTGTGAAAGGGCAACGTCCCCCGAAAGGTTTTATGGTAACTTTATAGTGCACTGTTCCCAAATGAACAAAGTTACATAAGAAAACATATATTGACCCAAGAGGTGATTCCCCACATTGTCTACTATGCATGCAAATATGCTCCCTCAGCCTGAAGTGAGATGAGCGCCAAATCCCATAGTTGCCTTTGACTGGACTCAACAGTCCAGGGGTCCTTTACCTTTTACCTATATATTTTATGAATGGCATTTAACCCATTGAAGACAGCAGCAGGAGGGGGTAATTGCTATATTGCAAAGCTCTGTTAAAGGCAAGGCTTTGAGGCAAAAACTGTAGCAGGAATAGCAGAGTTCCTCAAAAAAGGGAGCTGGAATATTAGATTCTTACCCCCCCCCACCAAAGTTTTTCCTTTTTAAGAAGAGCAAGTATATTCCAAAACAATAAATGTAAGTTGTAAAATATAGCTTTAAAATGGTAACTTTTAATGTCCAATTTATTATTTTATTTTACAATTAAAATACAAAATTTGTGGTGATCAGGGTTGCATTTATTGTTACACTAAATATGATGGCAAGTATGCCTCCAGCAAACTTGTAGAATTGTTTATGGTGTAATTATTATGGACATCTCAGTAAGTTTGACTAATCCTATACCCTATACAATACTTCCATTGTTTAGAATGTAATTGGTGTTCTGTGTCTTTTGGAAAACAGCATGTTCTTTTGGGTAAAAACTAAAAAAAATTCCTGATAACTTACTGAGTATGAAATGCAAAATAACTTCTCTCTACGGCAATAGATTTCTGATGTGCTAATAGGAAAAGGCTGTGTCCCAAACAAGTTAACTCAGAACAGATTGCAATTGCTTCAGAAACCTGTAAGGTTGTGTTATTTTTTCCTTTAAGTATTAATTTTATACCAATTGTTAATGCTTCACCTTAAAGATTTAAATGATACTTATTAATTGGTGTTCTTTTTATTTTTAACAGGTTGGTACGCAAGATTTTGCCAGAAACTTTCATGCCACTTATGTTTCTTGGGCTATTGCTTACCTCTTAGGCTTGGTCTGCCTAATTCGAGCCTGCTACTGGGGAGCCATAAAAGTCAGTTATCCAGAACACAGTTTTGCATAGACTCCTTATGCTTTCTTATAGAAAATGGATATTTCTAGAGGGTCTGATAATATGAACTGAGTAACTTAAATATTTTTCCTTTTAATATTTCCATTCTGTTACAGATAGTTATAAGGCTGGGGATCCTTTAAGAACAAATGTTCATTGCACTACATTATATGCAAATAATTTGTTTTGCTGCTAGATTCCCAACCTCTGAATACTAAAGCTTTGTTTACACTATCATACATCTGTCTTAAAAGTACTGTTGAATTCAATTCCAACTACAGTATTCTTTTACTATATTAAACAGTCTGTGCCATTTGAGATGAGTATGTAAAAGCAAGGTGTTCGAGTTTCTACAATTGCTTCACATTTGTATGTACACTTACAAACTGTATCAAAGCAGCCTGCTTTAAAATTTTAAGCAATAAGCATTTTGCTTTAACTGCTTACTGTAACTTCTACTTAAGAACAAAGTGATCTTACTAAGTGTGCATCATTTTGAAGAATGGAGCTTTTGCTAGGGTGTCACCATTTGTAAACACAGTATGCTTTCAAATTTCCAAGTCAAGGTGTAATATTTTGGTAGTCCATCTTAAGAAAAATGTTAATTTAAACACAATTAAAATTCAGCTTGGATAATTTTTTCTTTATTTCTTTCAAGGACCCTGGCACTTAATATTTTTTATCTTTTTACAGGCAAAGCCATGATTGGATTAATGGAACTTAATTGCTAGCAATTTGTATGAGTTCCTTTACAGGGTCTAAGTAAGGGAAGCATTTGATATGACTTGTTTTATAAATTTAGATGACTATAGGGTGATGTTGGGTTACCTCTCAGTTTGCTTGGATTGTGGTTTATTTTCCATAATAGGAAAATAATTTTCCAGTCACTGCAAAGGGAAATATAGCTTTACACTAACTAATAGGAAATGAAATAGAGTAAACAGTTACTCTGATCATTCCATAGATGTATAGCTGGTTAGTATAACACTGAAAACTAGTTGAACAATACAACAACTAAAGATGATTTTCTTGAGGTCACAAATAAATTATGGGGACCAGTTATTGCACTGCCCATCTTTGAAGTTTTACACAAAGTGTTTTTTAAAATTCTGAAGGAATACCCTGAGCCCTTTAGATTAAAGTAGTCCTTAGATAATGGGAGTTGAGGTTAGATAAATGTGAATGTTCCAGGGTTGTGCATAATATTTTCAATGATCTATATTCCTGTTTGGGGGCAAAGTGATGCTTGGGTGAGGATTTGGAGCACAATAAATGTATCCTTCAAACTGTAAATGAAAGTCTTTGTATAATGTTAAATGTACAAAAGCAGTAGCTCAGGATTACCATGTACCTTTTAAAATACACTAATAAAGATTATTATTCAAAGCTATTAATTTTGGATTCTCATTGGGGAACCTCTGTGGTGGATTCATTGAACTTGTAAGCCAGTAGCCAGTGATTTGGGATTCATAGGTGTCAGGGGTGCCTCAGGTCCCAGCTCACAAAGGACCAACGCCAGTGTCTCTTTATATACAAAGGTCTTTATTGAAGTTCATTGTTGGTTTTACATCCGTGGCGCGCATCCCTACGTCTGTAACTCTAGACCGTGGAAGCTCCGTCTGACTCTTCCCCTCCTCTACACCAGTTTAACACCCGAGCTTTGCTCCACCTCTTCCTCTGCTCTTTTCTCCTCTGGGTCCTCCTGCCCCCTGGGGTTCCACCCCTCCTGGACTCTTCGGAGGCGGATTCCTCTGACTCCTCCCTCTGTCTCCGGCGGGCTTTGGGACCTGGCTCCCAATCCGGATTTTCTGCTGACTTGCGCGCCTGCACATTTGAACTTGGCGCGCGCGCCCAGCCAGCCACTTTCCTCCTAACGGCTACACTGCTCCTGTCACTGCTTCCTCCTTCGGAGGGGCTGGCTGGAAATGACCTCTGCTCCGCCCCTCCACTCTCCGACGGAGGCGTGGTCAGCTCTGGCTCTCTCTCTCTCCCTGCTAGAGTGGACCCCGGTTCTGATCTGTGGGTTTCTTCCCCCCCCCCCCGCTACGCTCTGGCAGGGAAGCTGGCCCTGATCTCCAGCTGCCGCTTGGGGACTCACCGCTGGCCCCCCTTGCCCTGACCCTGGGCGCCTCTTTCTGAGAATCTTCTGATTCGCTGGAGAGACTCATGGAATCTCTCGGGTCACTGTCATACCCTCCTAAGCTCCCCTCAGATTCCTCCCCTTCGCTCTCCAACTCCTCTTTCCCCTTTGGCTCAGCCCCTGAGCCCCTGACAATAGGAAAGACACTGTGAAGAACAAGAGGGGGTAATCTTTCTTCCATGGGCTACAGTGACTAATCCCATGAGGCAGGATAGTTTAATCCATTAATCACCAATGCAGGCCCTCGGAAGTAAATCACATTCAATTCAATGGGGCTTACTCCTAGGTTAGTTTGGTTATGATTGCCACTTAACCACAAGCAAGTCTTTTTCACTGCAACATTTTAGTTCATATATGTGTATTTTATACAGGAAATGGTAATAGATGTGTCTTGATGAAACAATGCTCTTATAAGAGCCCACTACTCTAGTGCACTGTATATGCTGCTTTCCGTGTAGGCTGCTCAGAAACTTCAGCTACTACTACGTGCTGAGGTTTTTTCTGGGAGCAGTTGAAGGTCTTTTTCATTTACCCAGGTCTTTCAGTGACATTTTTTTTTTACATTTTGCTTTATATGTATTATTCCTGGAGAGAGTGCTGTTGCATTTCTATTTTTGATCTTTTAAAAATAATACTACACACTAAGTGGGTCTAGATGTCAGAGGATTTAAAATCAACACATCAAGTTTTTTGAAACAAATTTTAAAAATAACAACAATGCTTTGTTTTGACCAAAGATACAAAGAAATAACATCACCAAAAATTTGTTTATTGTGACCAGAATAACAACTGAAAGGAACTTGGGGATGTTAAGCAAAAGGACATTCTAAAAGTAGGTTTCATCTGGAATACCTCCAAGACCTTCGTAAAATGAAGAAACATTATCAACCTTGAGGCTTGAAATGAAAAATCTATAAGGGCAATGGAACAGCAAGTTGTAAAATTGGCACTGTATTATAGTATTTCAACCTTATGGTAAGACTATTTTCTCATTGCCAAAGTCATAATGGACTTCAGTTTTTTTTGTAAAATCTTTTAAGTTCTCAAGTGCATGTGTGAAATAAGCAAGGTTACACTATGAAGAAAATGTAGACCACCAGAGTTTCTGTGATATTTCCATCATGAAAGGCCTCTCTCTCATGGCTGGTGGGCACTGAAGGTTAACTGTATATAAGACAGTTTATGATTTAAGAATTAAGGACCCTGAAGGGACCATAAAAGCCCTTGAATAATAGCATAGGGTCAGAGTGTAGCTTGCTGCCAGTGATATACACTGAGCAGAATGTGAAGGAGTCTACAGAATTGTAGTTAGAAGGTACAGATCATCTAGACCAATCCCCTGCAATTCAGGAATCACAGCTAAACAATTCCCAACAAATGGCCATCCAAGCTCTCGTTTCTTCCCCTGGACGAAAGCAACAATGCATGAGACCAGGGCCACACAACGGAAGATGTAAAAATTTCTAAAAACAGAAGATGGCAACTCTTCATACAAAAGATTCCAGGTTCAATCCCTTTTATTTCCACTTAATTGATTTGTGACAACAAGTGTTGAGAAAGATGCCTGCTGTGGAGCCTGGAGTTACTGCCAGCACACAGTATTGTCCAAAACAGACAATGGACTGATTTTGATAAAGCACTTAAAAGGAAAAGCATAACCTGGAAAAGTTGGGGTCAAAAACTACAGTCTAAGTTGTTCCATGTAAGTTTAATCCATATGCAGCTTCATCCTGACCTGAATTTAAATGTCTAATAAAAACGTATCTTCATTTTCATTGCTTTAAGCATTTTTTTCAACCTTTTCATTCCCCATCCTTTCTATATTTAGTCTCCAACAGTGCAATCACACTGTGGTCATTAAAGCACAATGTATGTGTGCATAGGCTTGCAGCTCCAAACCAATACACACTTACCTGAGAGTAAGTCCCACAAAACTAAACAAAATTCCATTGTTGGGTTGTAATCCTATGCAAGCTTACCTGAGCAGAAGATCCATTGAATGCTGCAGGATTTATGCATACATAAGCTCATGCAGCAAAATGAGAAACATGACTCCACCCACTTTCCATTTTATACAGTAGATGTGTACCATAATTCTACACATTAGTTAAGAACGTAAGAGCCTGCTCGATCAGTCCAATGGTCTCTGTCTCGTCCAGCACCCTGTTACTTTACTTATTTCTTAAAATTTATATACTGCTTGGTTCTCACATTGGCCAAGCAGAAATCACAGGCAGGACCTGAGCACAGCACCCAAGTCCTACCCAGTGGGATTGATTCATAAGCAACTTCAGCCCCAGTAGCTCCTGAAATAGATTTCAGGACTGTGCAATCATAATCTGAGGCCCTTCTTCATGTGCCTGGTCCAGGAGAAATCCAGAAGGTGGCAACACCAGAACACGCCTTTTTAGTGGTGGCTACCCATTTGTGGAAAGGGACACGGGTGGCGCTGTGGGTTATACCACAGAGCCTAGGACTTACCGATCAGAAGGTTGGCAGTTCGAATCCCCGCGACGGGGTGAGCTCCCGTTGCTTGGTCCCTGCTCCTGCCAACCTAGCAGTTCGAAAGCACGTTAAAGTGCAAGTAGATAAATAGGTACCGCTCCAGCAGGAAGGTAAACAGCGTTTCCGTGCGCTGCTCTGGTTCACCAGAAGCGGCTTAGTCATGCTGGCCACATGACCCAGAAGCTGTACTCTGGCTCCCTCAGCCAATAAAGCGAGATCGAGTGCCGCAACCCCAGTTGGTCACGACTGGACCTAATGGTTAGGGGTCCCTTTACCCATTTGTGGAATGTTCTCATTATCTTTAGGAGCTTAGCGGGACACTGTGACAGAAACCACAGCGCACGAAGACGCCGTTTACCTTCCTGCCGCAGCGGTACCTCAATAAATAAAGACTGAGGGCACATAACCAAATTAATGACACTGTTAGGATGTGGGACATAGCAGCAATGCGCTTTGACAAGAGGTATACTCTGCAAAAGCAAAACAAACGAGACGGGACTGCTCAAGTTAGAACTTGGCCCGGACAGGCTCTTCCTAGAATCACAGAACTGTAGAGCCAGAAGGAACCCCATGGGTCATCTAGTCCAACCCCCTGCAATGCAGAAATCTCGGCTAAAGCATCCATGACAGAAGGCCATCGCATCCAACCTCTGCTTCAAAACCTTCAAGGTGTCCACAACCAAATGTCGAGCAGTTCCTTACCAGTTCCAACTCCAGGATGCTCCAAAAATAATAATGGGGGAGACACCCCCCACCCTTCAGAAAACAAAAACCCACCTAGGTCCAGAGATTGAAGGCGCGCCTTTCCCTTCCAGCCAAGTCTGTCAACCCCGAGTGGCGCGAGCGACCGAGCACGTGACGCCAACGGCCTCCGCCGCCTGCACAGCGCAGGCGCGAGAGCGCGCGCCGGCTTCGGAATGCTTAGCCGCACGCGGGGAGACCGTTAGTTGCTTAGCCAGGGGAGAGGGTTCCGGCCCTGGCTCCACCCACTTTCACAGGCGGCCCCGCCCACTTCGCGCTTCTAAAAGTGTGAAGGCGGCGACGGGTGGGCCTTGTCAGTTGTGGTTGGAGCGGGACTGCGAAAACTGCCGAGGCTTTAATTCGCCGGAGTTCGCGGTAAATGGTAAGGAGGGGATATTTGGAGAGGGAGGAGAAGCAGTCGTTTGTTCGCCAAGGTGGAAATGGGGAGCGTCCCTCGCAAGGGGAGTTCGTTGTCATGGGAGAGCGAGGCCTGTAAGCCGCCTTGAGTCCCCTGAGGGGGAAAGGCGGGGTATAAATATTTAAAATCAAAACGAAACAAGCACTAACTCTTAAGAGCCTCAGAAAGATGGAGGAAAAGTGAAATTTTATGGAGGCCAGAAAACGCGACCCCAGGTTCACCATATCGGTTTTCCATTTCACTATTTGGCCCCCTGTCCAGTCGAGGCTGCCCTTGGACTCTTTCCTTTTAAGCGGTCTCCTGAATCTCAGGGATTTTTAAAATTTAAATTTATTTATTTATTTAGGAGTTCTGGTGTGTGGGTGCAACCAAAGCGGGACTCCGCCCCTCGCACTTCTTTGCCAAGGCGCCTTTTAAAAAAAGAATATTTCTTGGTATTGTTTCGAATATAGCAGACGGTGTTGTTATAGCTAACGGGCAAATAGGTCGCTGAAAATTAAATCTGTCACTTTGAAGTTCAGCAGCATACTGTCCAGGGAGTTTTTACTGGGACCCAAGCCTAGGTCCAAGACTATTTGGTTTCTCTGAACGGTCCAGCAGGAAGTAGGGGCCGTGTATCTAATATATGCGTGTGCTTTCTTTTGATGTGATGGGTTAGGAAGCGGATAGGGTGGCCATGTGGTTAAATCATTTGAGTAAATTAATCATATCTGATTTGATTAGGTAAAGCTACATATGTTTGTATACCAAAACCAATAATCCCGAATTCCTTATTTTCTCATAATGCACACAGGTATTGCACCTGACACCCTCACTCTTTGTCAGTACTTGTATTTTTTTTTTAAAAAAACAACAACCCTGAAAAGAAACATGCTGCCCAGGCACAAGAATGATTCCCATGCCTAGTGATGTAGGTTGTCTGGAAAATCTTGAATTGGAAGGGTTTCCATTAATTTATGAAATGGAAACTTCCCCCAGAAAAGCACTGGAAAACATCACTGCCCATGTTACATTTTAGACACAGAAAGTTGTAAAATGTATTTGTATTAATGCAGCGGCGTAGCGTGGGTTGTCAGCACCCGGGGCAAGGCAAGTAATTTGCGCCCCCTAACCCGTGGATTTGCGCCCCCTAACCTGTGGATTTGCGCCCCCTAACCCATGGATTTGCCCTAACCCCAGATGTTGCGGCCGGCCCCCCCTGCACCCCCCACGCTACGCCACTGTATTAATGTACTTTTAATCTTTGCTGGAAGCCTCCCAGAGTGGCTGGGGAAACCTAGCCAGATGGGCAGGGTACAAATAATAAATTATTATTAAATTATTATTATTAAAAGTGGAGGAGTTGTCTACCTGGTTCATTATGACAGTAGCAATCTGCAGTATCTGGCTGCTGCTATTAGAATTTTGCTTTCAAACAGACAAACCCAAAAGTAAGGTAAAGGTAAAGGTACCCCTGCCCGTACGGGCCAGTCTTGACAGACTCTAGGGTTGTGCGCCCATCTCACTCAAGAGGCCGTGGGCCAGCGCTGTCCGGAGACACTTCCAGGTCACGTGGCCAGCGTGACAAAGCTGCATCTGGCGAGCACACGGAAACGCCGTTTACCTTCCCACCAGTAAGCGGTCCCTATTTATCTACTTGCACCCGGGGGTGCTTTCGAACTGCTAGGTTGGCAGGCGCTGGGACCGAGCAGCGGGAGCACACCCCGCCGCGGGGATTCAAACCGCTGACCTTTCGATCGGCAAGCCCTAGGCGCTCAGGCTTTTACCCACAGCGCCACCCGCGTCCCTAAACCCAAAAGTAGCTGAGGTCTATTTAGGTTGGGAGAAAAAGTAATTACCATATTCAGTTATAATAATCATTATTTCATGATACCTCTGACTGCTAAGACATGTTCAAATACATGTAACTAAAGCTTATAGATTCATAAATGTGCAAAGGAAGTAGTTTCTTCTTTTACAAAATATTTTAAAAGGCTAAAAACCAAAATGGAAGATAGTATCCAGCAACAGCTGACTTTGATGATTAGGGTTTATTTAACTTGCACATATCCATTGGCATTCTCAAGGCCAATAAAATCACTACATGCCTACCTAGGATACAACAAAGTAAAAGTTCACAAAGGCATCACAAATCACATTTTCAGAAGCGCATTGTACAAGGTATGGACAACTTATCAACCCTTATTGGAACTGTATACACCATGGTGACTATCACCATTAGAAGCCTTCTCAGTCAAAAAAGTAAATACTGTATAACACAAAATTGGGCAACGTACCGCCAATTAGTAAGAGAAGAACAAGGCCAACCAAAGCTGAAAACATTCAAAGAAATAAGGCACCATCTCACAGACTGGCTTCAATATCACCAATGTTTTTTCCTCGGATAAAAAATTCGGCTTTGGGAAGGGAGAATCAAAGTTGCAAAAAGTATTATTAGGAAATAATAAAAAATTATTATCTAAAGTATACAATCTATTATTAGAGCAGGACTTAAAAGATAAATAAAAGAAGCACAGATCAAATGGGCTCAAGATATCGGACATGTAATACAATTAGACCAGTGAGAAAGGTTATTGAAAATTGATAGAAGATTCACTGCCTGCTATTCTGTAAAAGAGAATATCATGAAGATGTTCTATAGGTGGCATATGACTCCTAAATATGTATAAAATATATAAGATCAAATCCAATCTTTGTTGGAAATGCATGAAAGTAGAGGGTACTATAATGCACCTTTGGTGGGGCTGCAAAAAAGTCAAAAAAAATCTGGGGCTGCATCCACGATGAACTAAAAAAGATGCTCAGGATATCTTTAGGGGGGAAAAACGAGTCATTCTTACTGAGTAGTAGGATATGAGATACCACAAGACAGGGGAAAAATATTTTATGCAACTGCAGCAGCCAGGTTACTCCTTGCAAAGAACTGGAAAGGAAATTATATATCCACAGAAGAGAATTGGCTATCTAAATTAACAGAATTTATAGAACTGGCAAAATTAACTATGGCAATAAGATATCAAACACATCAGAAATTAAGGTCACAATGGTTATGGTTCGAAGAGTATATGAGTAAACACTGCTCTAAAGATAACATGCTGATATGTTTAGACTAAGCTCGTAAAGCCATCTTGATAATATAATATAATAGTATACTAAAAGAAATAATGTAGTGATACATGATTTGCAATGTAAATAAGAACTTGAATGAAAAAACGACAAGCACTGGTGGAGGGAAGTCACAAAGGTGTATTTTCATCCACCTATTTTATGTACTTATTTCTTACCTTAACTTTTTTCTTTCGTTTTTCTTTTCCTTTTTTCCTTTTTTATTGTTATTACGATGATATTATGGTTGTAAATGTATGTGTATTAATATTTGTATGAATGTCTAATAAAATAAAATAAAATAAAATAATTTTGAAAAAATCACTGTAGAAAACAAATACATTAAAACTGCAGTCCTGTACTTGTTTACCTAGGAACAAGTCCCACTGAACTAAATCAGGCATACTTCTGAATAAACATGTTTAGGATTGCACTGTAAATCAATTTACAATGACATAAAAAATATGACGCCTATGATGATGTCCGCTTTGGTGCCTCCCTCAAGAAAATAGCCGTAAACATTCAAAGACATTCATAGTTCATAATATGCTAATAGTAGATTGGGAAATAGTTTACTGTTTTAGCCATAGTGAACATTCCCAATCAAATCAGGATTAATAGGCCACTACTCTTGCTTGACTAAACCATTTCTGGCAAACCAGAGCAGCGCATGGAAATGCCGTTTACCTTCCTGCCGGAGCTTCCCTTTACCTTTTACTCTTGCTTATTAAACAAGAGAGGCTAAACCTGTTATATATTTAGTTGAAAGATACAGCTGCTAAGTTCACGTTTAGGGTGTTACTGAAATATTGCATAACATTAGGAATTATTAGGAATTTAGCTTCTTTTTGTTCTTTTTAAGGATGAGACAAGAAAGTTCAAAGATAGGGAACAGGGTTAAGAGTTTGGTGTGCGATGCTAGAGAGTGTGCTACAGCAGGTGGACAACCTTAAAGTTGCAAGGCTGCTAAATGCATGTTAAGCTTCTTAATTTCTGGATGTTCTATAGTTATCTGCATGTACATGTACCCTGTCTTTTACAGTATGGCTCCTCAAAGTGTTTAAAATAATGGAAACAAAAGGAATGATTGGTAAGCCCCTCCAGCCAGCAAGACCTGCACGCCATCTCTCGTCCCATGGTAAGCATCTTGATGATTTTGGAGTGCGTACTTGGAAATAGAGTACCAAACTATATGTAATTTGCTGTTGCATGATGTGGTTCTTAAATATTAAATAGCAATTAGAGGAGAGATCAGAATAAAGGGAGGGAATTTTAAGCCTTTCCTTCTGTGCCACAGTCCTAACAATAGTCTCTCCCTCTCTCTCTCTCTCTCTCTCTCTCTCTCTCTCTCTGTGTGTGTGTGTGTGTGAGAGAGAGAGAGAGAGGGGGGGGAGATGAATTTCTAAAGTTCTTTTAGATGAGGTAAAGAAGTAGAAAGATGGGCATCAAGGTTGAGAACTCAGGGAAGCTGCCATTGTCACCAGTGGCATTTATGATAGTTTAACCCTAAGAGATAGCATTACTAGTTTTTATGTGCCCATATGTATTTATTGCATTTATCTATTATCATTATGCCAAGACACTATTACAAATAGTACAAAATATTCTCTGACTGATATCTAGAGCTGATGGCACTAGCTGTTTTGGCATTTAATCGCAGCCCTCCATTACAAGTCATGCAAAGCAAGGTTCTTCTGAATATTCCCTGAGATAAAGTTCCATTAGATATAGTGGGGCTAAATTCTGAGCAGACATCTACAGAACTATGCTGTAAAAATAACCAACCCGCCCCGCTTATATTTTTGCCATATTCATTGACAACATTACCATCCTCTGTTATACATACATAAAGTTATATTATATTTCTTTACTCTCCACATTTGGTCTGTTGGCAAGTAATGCTGCTTTTCTCTTAATAACACTGCAGAGAAATACAGCCCTTCCTCTCTGTTCCGTTCGTGAAAACTCTGGTTCATTTCCTGGTCACTCCTTGCATTTACTACTGCAACTGTCCATTTCTGGCAAAAAAAAATAAAAAAATCCTAACTTCACCAAGGGGTTCTGACCAGGAAAGAAATCTTGGCTATGGCGGATAGCTTAATGAATGAAAATGTCAAACCAGTGTACAGCAGCTTTGGGGAAAAAAGTGAATGATATGTTGGGGGTTATAAAGGAATTGAAAATATTACTATGTCTTTATACAAATTGTGGTGCAACCACACTTGGAATATTGTGCACACTTCTGGTGTCCACACTTCAAGGATATTGTAGAGCTGAAAAGGGTTCCGAAATGAGCAACCAAAATTATCAAGGGACTGGAGAAACTCCCCTAAGAGGAAAGCAAATAACATTTGAGTCTTTTTAGTTTAGGAAAAAGGAGTAAGTGGAGATGTGATATAAGATTATGCATGATGTAGAGAAAGTGGATGGGGATAATTTTTTTCTCCATTTCTCAATACTAGAACCCAGTCATTCAATAGAGCTGAATGGAAGATTCAGAAGAGACAAAAAGTATTTCTTCACATTGTGCATAGTTAAGCTAGGGAGTTTACTCTCATCAGATGTGATACAGACTTGGATAGCTTTTAACAGGAATTGGATAAGTTCAAGCAAGACAAGGCTATCAACACATAGTAGTAATGATGGCTATATTGCCTCTAGCATCAGAAACAATATGCCTCTGAATACCAGTTGCTGTGGAACATGACTGGAGAAAATACTGTTTCATTCATGTCATGCTTCTGAGCTTTCAAAATACAACCCCCCCCAAATTTTGCTTGGCTTTTAGTTAAGAATTAAGTTTATCTCCCCTATTTTTATCTTAAATTGTTTTATCCTGTTCTTAGTTCTGTGGTAATAATTTTAGTGATTTGCTTTTATATTTTATGTAAGCCTATATGAATTTTTATTTTAAAGAACTGCTTTGAATTTATTACTTTTAGAAAGCACAATATAAATTTCTTCATAAATAAAAAAGCCAAAGTCCACTATGGCACTGCCATCTTATCTGTCTCTTCATATAAATTAATATTTCCCTGTCCTTCACAATTGCCCTTTCTCCCTTGTTGCTCCTTTTGTCTTGATACAACCGTAATTTTGTCACCTTACTTCAGATTTCTCCTCAAAACCCACCTTTTCTGTAAAGCATTTTTCATAACCCTTTAATCTTCGTACTCTGTTTGAACAAGTAACCAAAATGCATTCAAGTTCTTCCATTGTTTACTCCTGCCTTAATTTCTGTTACCTTACTAGTGGCGAAACATGATCAGCTGTGCTGTATTTTATATTGTAAGCTTGAGATATTTACAAATCATCATGTACATTGATGGTTTCATGTATGTTTCGTATGGACTAAATATTACACTTGCTCTGGATTCAGGGTGTTTAATTTTTGAAGTTGGATTAGAGCAAGAAAGTGTAGTTCAATTTACTAACAAAGAAGTAAACATATTAAATTATTTCTACAACATCCTTTCCCACAGTATCAGCAACCACTTTCACTTTCCAGACAAAGTTTCCATGCAACCCTTCTGTACGTTTGCATAATGAAATTAGTTCGGTAAGTATTCATCCAGTATGCAAAATAAATAGTATTCACTATATTCTGGGCTACTACAAATATCCCAATTGAGCTTTGATATAACTAGATAACAACTGTGTCTCAACTTCAGTTTTCAATTTGGGAGATGGGAATAATGATGTGCCTTGAGATTATAAAGCTGAATGAAATAATGATTTTTACAGTAATATGGTGGGGGGGTGGTGATTTTGGTAGCTGTGCCTACAGAATCAGTAGTAAATAGTTCCATTTACACTCAGTAGTCTAATCCTTGAAATCTCCCCCAGCCTTTCCTATCCTGGTACCCTCTAGAGATGTTTTGGATTCCCATCAGTCGGAGGTAATACTACAAATGGTCATGGGTGATGAGAGTTGCAGACCTAAGCATCTAAAATGCACTAGGTTGCAGAAGGTTGTCTACTCTGTATTTCTCTGGAAATTAATTGGGCTTGTATAAAGCAGTTTGAGACCTGATATTTAAGCAATTGTGTCAAGGAACCCATTTAGATGAAGCATGACCATTGACACAGTCAAGCATAGAAAGGCTCATGGGTCAATAGATATGACTCCATTACAAGATAGAAAATGTTAATACTAACTTCCTCATTTTCATTTAAGTGGCATGCCTGTTAAAGTATCTGTGCCAATATCACATGTAGTGACTGCATACGTACCATTTTTGTGTTTGTTTGAGATAGTGAAGCAGTGTAAATCTGAATTTTGTGGTCTTGGTAGGCAGGCAGATACTGTGCATAACAGTTAAGGACACATTTTTTGTGGTAGGGGTATGTTTTGATTTTGTGATGGACTTAAATATTAACAAAATAAATGTGCTATATTTTGTAGTACCTTAAATGCTAGCAATTTTACTGTGGTCTGAATTTTCACGGGCTAGCTTCCACTTTATTGGGTGCATGAAGTTTAATGGCTATGTGTACACAAAGACACACACACTAATTATATAAGCATCAAACAGCACTTCAGACAAGCTTGCTCTGGTCTCTTTCAGGATTCATTTATACACACCTACACCTTGTATCTGGGTGGCGCTGTGGGTTAAACCACAGAGCCTAGGACTTGCTGATCAGAAGGTTGGCGGTTTGAATACCTGCAATGGGGTGAGCTCCCGTTGCTCGGTCCCTGCTCCTGTCAACCTAGCAGTTCGAAAGCACGTCAAAGTGCAAGTAGATAAATAGGTACCGTTCTGGCGGGAAGATAAACGGCATTTCCGTGCGCTGCTCTGGTTCACCAGAAGTGGCTTGGTCATGCTGGCCACATGACCCGGAAGCTGTACGCCGGCTCCCTCGGCCAATAAAGCAAAATGAGCGCCACAACCCCAGAGTCGGTCACGACTGGACCTAATGGTCAGATGTCCCTTTACCTTTACACCTTGTTTGCAGTGTGGGTGTAAAACTGAGGTTATAGGACAGGCTTCCTCAACCTCAGCCCTCCAGATGTTTTTGGCCTACAACTCCCATGATCCCTAGCTAGCAGGACTAGTGGTCAGGGATGATGAGAATTGTAGTCTCAAAACATCTGGAGGGCCAAGGTTGGAGAAGCCTGTTATAGAGCAATACAGAAAGTACCAACAGTGATTATTATTAACAGTGGCTACTTACAAAATAGCTGCTGATCATTCAGAATACAGCGATATTATTATTAATATTTATTAGATCTGTTAGTTATGTTTGTTAGGTATGCAAGCAACTTAAATCACATTTAAAACATAAATATCAATACATTATGCAATAAAAACAGAAAAACAACCCCCTCAAACAGCCCCAGGAAGCTTTGACAGTGCACGAGTAACAAAATGACATCATCTTAGTCTATCAAAAGCTTGGGGAAAAATGGTATATCTTAATTGGTGCTGAAAATACTGCTTGGGGGACCCAAGCAGTAAAGAGGTTTATAGGTCAAAACCAGCACTTTGAATTGGGCTTTGGTATCTCTGCTTTGGATGCTACCTGACACATGTAGTTTGCTGATGGTACCTTTGTCCCTATTCAAGCCACAAGTGATGACAATTAACATCTTGATAAATTGTAATACAGCATTTTCACATTAGTCTCCCTTGAAACTTCTTTTCTTCAAGGTTACAGGGGTCTGGTAGGTTGAGTTTCCGCAAATAGTTTTTGAGTCTTGCCATTTCTGGTGTCAAATTTGCATCAGTTTATTATTCTATTTTAAAATCTGGCCTATTAGTCCATAATTTGGGAAACAATGACATAGAACTGAGCACAAAATTCAAACTGCTGCTGTCCCCACCCTCTGAGCCACTGCTGGCTGTAATAAGCAGTTCAGCCGTTTTCAGAGATTAAATAATCAGTAGGAAATGTTAGTAGCTGGCATAATCTATGTCAACTGTCTTTTTCTTTTCTTTTTCTGGCTTTGTCTCTGCACCAGCACTTTGTGACTGGTGGGCATCAGTAAATTTCAGCCCAAGCAGTAGAAGGTTTGAGAACCCCTGTTTTCTGGAGGCTGCAGAAATGCATTGCAGGCAGATTGAACATTGGAAGATGTGAAGGTGAAAGAACCTTTTGATGCTGGCGCTAGTTCCAGTAATAATTTTGCAGGGTGGACAAGTGGACAGACTTTGCATCTCGGTTTGCCACATGGCTTGTTCCTCTGTCCATGTTACATGACATATTGCTGGTGAGTAGCTGTTTTAGGTTGGGTGGCTGTCTGTAAACAAGTACAGGTCTACCACCCAAGGCCTGTGAGAAAGTGTGACAGTCTTACTTTCTACATCTCATTTCCCTTTTGCAGCTACTTACACACATATGTGTGACACTTCATGCTTCTGGTGACATGGACTGCAGTCCATGAAAATTTATGCCATAATAAAGTCGTTAATCTTTAAGTTCTACAAGATTCATTGGTTTTGCAACCACAAATCCTGCTACTGTTACTCTGAATTTCCCCCCAATTAATAGAATTAAGCATTCATCATAATAGAATTATGTATTCATCACTATATTTGCATGAACAGCTAAGATGAATTCTAGACTGCAGTAAAACATCAGTATTTTATTCTTTGTTTTTAGATGTGCAAGTCTAATGGAATGCTGGTTTTAAATGACAGTCTGATTCCTACACTGTCAGAGCAGCATAAACCTGAAGTTGCAAAAGGTAAACATTGTGAGTAGAAGTACTGAACTATACTAATAAACTGGAGGTGTATGGACTATTGAAAAGCCAATTTTTAAATTTGGGACATGTCTTGATGGGCCTTTTTACATTGTTTCAGGATTGAGTAAGAGGCTTCAGGCAGTCATTGAGGAAACATGCAATGATCTTTGCATATTTACACAAAGTTTACCTCAGATTGCAATGTTAGTCTTGTTCTATTATTTAAAGTTTATAAAACTTTGGAATTGATTTGACTGAGTAAAATGGAGATTTACTTGTGTTCAAGAGCTCCTTCAGTACACAAAGCTCATTGCAAGACAGAGGTAAATGAGCTAAACTAGGTTTCAACTGGTTGACATTTCTTGTCCCTTCTCCATATTACTAATGCTATAGAACTCTCAGCTTTAAAACTATGTATAAATGGGTATCCCATAGTCTGTAGAAATCCCAATCTATTACAATGCAGCTTTCACAAATGCTCACTTGCCAGTGAGGTAAGAATCATAAATACTCTAAAAATAGTTTAATTTATAATTTTCACGAGCTGTTTCATGCATGTATGTACTCTTCAGCACAATACTTAACATTTAAAATTTGCATTGACAGAGAGAATAACATATAGTAGAGATTTCCTCTTGAAGCTTTCAAAGGTTTCACTTGCACAAAAGAAACCAGAATTTCTTCCCGATCATCCCATTGTACTTGAAAAACCAGTAAGTGTTTGAAAGTATTTAAGTAGCTTGTTTTGTGTTAAAAGGAGTACAGATTAATTAATTGGTGGAGCTTGCTGTTGGTATCTAGTGCTGCAGTCATAGAAGGGGAATTATCTTACCAAGTGCTTTTTTTCTAAAAAAATGTTTAGGGGTACTCTCATTTTCCTACTCCTAATGAAATACTGCCCCTCAATGAGGCCAAACTTAGATTCACAAAATGTTTAGGGGTATGTGTATCCCTGCGTTCCCCCAGAAAAAAAGCACTGATCTTACCCCTCTTCCCACTATATCCCCCAACACTCCTGAATAGCTTCTCAAGTGTCCAGGGACAGCACAAAATGCCTGAGATGTGGAGCAAGGGGGTAATTAGATAGGGGCAGTATTTGAATAGAGCTCTTCTTATGCAAGCTGCCTTCACTCAGTTACCCCCTCCTAGCCACTATCACCCAGCAGGAGGCTACAGCAGGAGAATGGGGGTGGGCTATACCCTTTGTACAAGCGTTCTTGCTTGAGCAACCTAGTATCTTCCATTTATGCAAGCTCCTTCCAAATTACTGCTCAAGGAATAGTTCCTACTAATATGTTGCACACGTGGGAATTCTGAGTTTTTCAGAGCATCAATTATGATAAGGTAAATATTGTATAATCTGTTGAGATGTTCTTGTGTTTCAATACTTTCCCAGTAACTCAAGTCATTCCCATAATCTGACATGAATACAAGAACTATAGGTATGACACAGTAAAGTGGGGTGTGGCTGGGAGTTTTTCAGAGAGCTGCTGTAGGGGAATGCTATAAAAATCTTTAAACGTTTCTGGGTTTAAAGAGCAATCTGGAGGGTATGGGAAGGGCCTTACAAGATTACAAGTAGAGAAACTGACTCAAATTAATGGATATACTCGGAAGAGCTTGTGTTCTCTTATTTCCTGGTTCTGTTATCCATTTATTATTTTATGTCAAGGGAGCGGGACTGGACCTGGTTGGTGGGCCAAATCCAGAGTTCTCCCACCTTCTGTGGACCACTTAGACAGCTGAATTGCCCTACCAACTTATACTCTGTTGTCAGCTTTGAACTCAAGGCTTGCAGAGTGCAACAAGTGTGTGCTTGATTCTTTTCCTTTTGGTAATTTGGTACTTTTTGAATTCAGCACTATTATTATAGCATCACATTCTGCACATACGTCACAAGCAATACACAAAATATATTAAAACAGCCAAAGAACAATTAAATAAGAGCACAGAAACTGATAGCAGGTGAATTTAAAAACAAACAGCAATACAAAGTATTGTTGCTGCAGGGAATCCTGAAAAAAATGCTCCAAAATTGAAAGAAACCGAATTTTACAAGTGTGCTTCTGTTTCTCCCGTTTCAGTTGGCACTGTTGGTTTACCTGTCTCAAGCCTGATGTTACATGGCATTTGGTGATGGGCAGGTGGGGGTGGTTTTGACTAAACCATGTCATGGGCTAAATGGGGAGGCGTGTGAGCTGCAGGTTCCCTTCTGTAGTTTTACGCATATATGTGTGCTCCCAGCTTTTTAAATACTTGCTCAGAGTCTAGTCCTGAGCTGTGATTGCCCTTAAGCTTGCTTAAATATCTATTGTGAATATTCTTCATTAACTAAATTTGGTGGTGGGACATTTTGTCTTGTAGAAAAACTATTTACTACCTACTGCAAGCAACAATAGGCCTTTCTGAAGATGAGGAATGTGTCTTTTTCACCACTAAAAATTAAGGGAAATGGGATCTGTAATGCCAATAGACTGTAATCAAAATTTATCTTTTACAGTTGGTGTACCCATCAGTTCATTTCGGAAGTAAAGCTGTTTTCAACAGAAAACTTATGTGAAAACTTCAAGTTTTGTATGACTTAAACCAATAGTTCATTGAGCTTTTGTAGTTATAAAGGAGAGAACTGCTAAAATGAGGCAAAACCACTGTCACTTTTCAAATTTGGAAATGTTGCCTATGACACCATAGCTGTGATTCCCGAAGGACTGAAGTTCACTTGATCACTTTTGCTGCAACTGATTAGATATGTGCAATGGTGAGGAAGGCTATTCTCATTGGTCGGCTACTATAAACTACTGACTCCTCATGGCTACATACACCTTACAGTAAGCCTTCAAACCACCATCACATAGTAAACATTCCTCTGTATCAACCCTTAGTGAATGTTAAGTACGCTGTGTATTATATATGTATATCTAAAATACTGGCTAGTCTTTTATAAAAGCACATACTTAAATCTCTTCCATTGAAATCATTGGGACTTGACTTTGGTTGGATTGTGCCATTTTTTTTCTAGTGTTATAACATTTCTGATGTATTTATAAATAGTAGCGGTATGTTTTAATAATTTTATCGTGACCTGTCCTTTTCCCTCTCTGCCTTTCACCTTATCTTTTTCCATCAATCACTGTAACTCTTCCTAAATAAACTAGATTGATTCAGGGTGGTGTGGATTTTAAACTGTGTAGAGTTAATTATGTGACTGTAAGCCACTGATCTTATTGTCTTAACTTTAGTCATCAGTATACAAAACAGTCCTACTTGGGAGTAGACCTGTTGAAATGAATCAACTTAAGTCCATTTATTTTAGTGGGTCTGTTGAGTAGGACTAAAGCTTGATAACCACTCTCTATAACCAAGTGATATCTTTCTAGGTTAACGGTAGCTGTTGCTAGCAGCTATAGCTCTGTGGCACCAGGCAGTGGAATTATATAAAGGCTAAGTCCTATCCTGCTTTTTGTACTAAAAATATAGTAGTTTGTTCTGCTAGACATATCTCACTTTGATTGCCAACCTATCTGCTGCTGACATTGTAGACAGATATACAAATAATGGTTACTTGCAACTTGTGCGGGGTTCTGTTCTAGGGAATGCGCGTAAAGCCAAAATTGTGTATAGTCAGAACAACCTCTTGAACTGCCCCCATGTGAGCATCCCTACCACTCCAAAGCCAGTGCAGCAAATGGACTTTGCCTCCAACACAAGGTGGAGAGCTTTTAAGCTCTCTGCTTTCCTTACTGGGCTGTGTTCCTTAAATGGACATCCTTGTCATAAACATTGTTACAGGTAACTTAAGCGATTTCAACTTTGCTACCAGTCAGTTGAAATTACACAAATGAAATGCACTGAAGGTGGACAGCTAAATTCGTTCTCATTTGTGACTTGACCTATCATTGTTGGAAGTAAGACTGGTAAATGGCCTGTGTTTCTGATCTTTTCCGAAGGCTGCAAACAGGTTTTAAAACTGAGCTAATCCTTGTGTGTGGGTTAGGAGTGTAGAGATGGAATAGCACTTTCTTCCATGGACAAAGTTTTTCTTGAAAATCTTTTGGCTGTGCATGGGCTTACAGCGAAGCTTTCCATTTTTCAGTAATAAAGAGTAAGCTTGACTTAACAGAGTAGCAGCAGCAGCAGCTAAATATGAGCTGTTAATATAAATGAAAAACTTGTGTTAATCCAGGAGTCTTGCTTCCCATTGAGTTCACGTATATAGAATAGCTTAGTATCCATGTTGGGCTGACTTCAGTGTGCACCATGTTATTAAGCAAAAGGCAGCAATGTCCAATGTAAGCATATATATTAAATCTACATCCTGCTTTGTGTCCAAAAATGATTTCTCAAATAGTTACAGATAGTTAAAACACACAATAAAAGCACTATGCACAATAACATAGAGAGCCATATGAAACAAATTAAGATAAATAAATACCATTATATAATTCCATAAAGTAGCAACAAATAACTTGTACAGTACAACGTGGCCCTTTTTAAAAATGGAAGGAATGTTATCTGCTAATTTTAGAGGCTTTATAATAGTTTTTTTTTAAAGTAATGCAGAACATATGTCATTAATAGGAATTATAGCGAAGCTTCTAGTTGTTGTTGAGGATCCACCAGGAAGCTGAAAAGGAAGTATTCATGCTGATTAGTCAATTTTGTATTTCAGCAACTTCTTAAATTGTACTAGCTATTTTGGTTTTTAATGAATGAGTTTATTCTAGCCATTTAACAGTTTGCACAAATGAAAGCACAGCAATATTCAGAGCTTTTCAAATGGAATAAGAAGCTTGTAACTAAAGCAAACTACCAAAATGAAAATAAAGTTGGACTGTCACTAAATCAGGTACATGTTAACTAAGCTCTGATTGGCGAAAGGAAAAAAGAATAGGGCAACCTTTCTGTAGTAGTAGAAATTTTATCAGCTAACCAGTGAAACACAGTGATATCTCTACCATGGAACCCGGAGAGAACAGGTGAAATTTTATTATCTCCTCATATGATCACATAGACATACTGTTAAATTGAAACCCAATTTCCAGGTCCCCAGAGCCCTAAGACCAGGAGGGTTCTAATATTGCTTATTATATCACAAAAGGGAACACATGAGGCAGTGTAAAGGGGAATCCAATATGTATTGTTATTTAGAGCACTTAAATAATTACCACCTTTGGTCCCAGTCGGATACCGAATGCCAAAGATGGAATGAGAATAGTGTCATCACATTTTGACTGACATTATATAATCTTTGGAGTATTAATGCTTTTGCATTCATTTCACTTAAAGATAAAAATGCCAATAGTGAACAGCCATTGGCAACTCTCTATCAATTTCAAATGGTCTACTCTGATTAGGACTAACATTGGATACAACCCACTATCAATGTTGTTCCCCCTGATAACATCCCATCATTACTAATGTATGGTATTCTCGCTAACCCAAATAAATGTATATAAGAAAAGCAGTATTCCAGCTACCACAATGTGTATGTAATGTTAGAATTGATCCTGCTCAACATAGCTAATACTTTACATTTAATTTTTGGGTTAGGGTTAATCTTTTAAGATTGCAAGAGCAGGAAAAATGGCCTATCATTTAAACAGATTTTACTTCAACCAAAATTCCTGGTGGTACTAATTTCAGAGCTATATCTGGTAGTCTATATATGTTTTCCCATACATATTTCCTCCTGTAGGACTAATACCAGTTTTTAGGGGAGATTTAAACCAGTTGTTCTTAAACTCCTCACTCAGTGCCATACTCTGAATTGGTTTCAACTGCACCCAATGGCTCCTGGTAAGGTTTTCTGTGGATTTATTAAAAATGGGGAAACCCTGATCACAGGTCTCCCACATTATACGTAGGCCTTGAATAGAAGGCATAATTCTACCTTTTAGTCAAGTGACAATTTGAATGGTATTCATATATTATGCCATCAAGCCATTTATGAAGATAAAATATTGCTTATCAAGTTTGGTCTATGTTTTAATTTGTTGGAAGCTTCCTTGAGCGACTGAGGCAACCCAGTCAGATGGGTAGCATATAAATAATAAATTATTATTATTATAACAGTCATACATATGACTTCACTGATTAAAAAGGTAACCTGTTACTCAGAAGCATGTTCCACTCTGATCAGTGGTACTTACAGCTAGGAAATTATGCAACCCTATGTACACTTGCATGGGAGAAAGTTCCATTGAATATAGTGAGTCCTACTTCTGTGTAAACATGCATAGGATGTCATTAGTGGGAAATCCCTAAATAGATGCTTCTCTGCTTCTGGAATGGAAAATAGGTGTTGAGGGAAGGCACAGAATGAGGGGGAGAGAACTTTTTCACACAGATAACTATTAACAGGATGATTACCAGGCACTAGCATAGTTGTAATATGTTCTGGAGTTTCCAGGCAATCCACATTACTTCTTTGAAATGTCTTGCTGTAGTTCATCTGCAGGTGGCTATAGAAATAAGAGTGATAACTTCATTTACTCTTTCTCCTTCCTATATCAAATCACAATTTAAAATAAAATTGGATAGGAAGCCCTCTTGGTTTACAAATCTGCAAAGCCTTTATTATATAGTATGAGATTGTTAGATAAAAATGTACTACTGAGTTAACCATAAATAATAGTCCAGTTTACAGCCTACACAATCAAAAACCCAACACTGATCCATGTGTCCCTGAGATGTATGCTTGGTGGCCGCTAGAAAGTGTGAATTGAACCAGAATATCTTGTTTTTTTATGGAACATTTCTATGTTTTGTTAGAAAATCTCTTCAGGGCTTTAATACATCAGTACATTTATCTTTTTCAAATCTATTTCATGTCATCCTAATGTGCTTTTGCTTATTTTATGAATACTTCCATCCAAGTGTTCTGAAGGATCAATGCGTTTGGAATGGAAACCTGGTATGCTGCAGAAAAGTATAATAATTGGACTATTCTAACTGATCAGCCAATTAATATACGTAGGAAACGATCAGGCAATATGCTACTTGTGTCCCCCCCCCCTTTCCCACCCCCAACTAGGTGGTGCTAATAAATATTTGTTCTGGAAAATCAGGTTTTGTTTCTAGTAACAGTAGTTGTAGATAGCTGATATTTTGAACTATTTATTTATAATTTTGTCCATAATAAGATATACACATGGCATTTTGTGTACCTGTTCCAGGCATTGTTCTCCCAGAATTCATAAACGATGAAGCGAGATTCACCAGAAAACCTCTGAATAGAAACACTAGTAAAACAACAGAATTAATTTGATTAGTAGATAGCAAAGCCAGTATGAAGAAGTAATAAGTTTGGTTAAGAAGTAATGAGAACCCTGGCTTCTCACTTTGAGAAGAAGCTGCCGCATGCCTTGGACTTACAAACTCCCAACCTCTTCAGTGGCCACAAGGAGATCGAAAATTGTTTCCTATCTTAAACTGAACCAGAGTTCCCTGTATTGCCCAAACTTGAGAACCTGTGGTTTGTTTTAATAAAAAAAAACCCTTATTTTCAGATCATTTTATTCACCTTCAACTGAAATTCTGTTAGTTTTTTTTGAAGGAGTGGGACACTAAATCCAATCTCTCCCCCCCCCCCATTCCAAAAAACAAACAAATCCTGATTGGTAGGATTTCAACTTTATAAATAAGTGATTACAGTTCGGGCACCTAGATCTTGGAGGGGAACCCCACAAGCAGCAGCTGTTTGTATTTGGTTTTGTTATCCATCTAGAAATATGTACAGGAAAGCCTCCTGTCGTGCAGTTTGTCCCACAGCTAGAATGACATGCAGATCTTCAGTACTGGAATGATTCATATTCCTACAACTACACTTGTATATAACCTTCCATCCAAGTTCTCTGCAAGGTTTACATAAATGGTAAAATACAATTTGAAATAAAAACACTAAATCTAAAATAAGTCACACAACCAGCTAAAGTCTTTAGGCTTGTTTTCAGCTGTACAAATTAAGACACAAATTGTGTCAAAGCAGAAAGAGACCAGCAGGTGTCACTATGTACATATGGAATACAGTGTGCCAGGAAAAAGGCAACTATCTCTCTGCTATATTCAACAGGTGACTTTGCAAGTACTGTATGTTAACCTTTTTTCTTTAATGGGTAATTCATTGTTGCTCATAAAACTATTTGGTTTGTTGTAAACATTAGTTTTGCGGTCCATTTTGAGAACCCTGTTAAGTATGGCTTCTTTTTTGGAGCAGATATTTCAGTCCCATTGCAATTAATGGGAGTTTTGAGCTACTAACTTTGGCTGGGGCCAGGTCATAATGTGAGGGGTGCTTATAGAACCCCTTCGCTAGTTGTCATCCTGATGACTTCTGATGGAATTCTAAGCGGAAACTTACAGCCATCTAAATTTTCTCATCCTCTGGGGGCAGCAAATGTACTCACTGCAGGCACCCGTCCTGAGAAGAGGCCGTGTCCACATACTGCTTCAGAGCAAACCGAAATTGTTCCAGTTCTTCTTCTATTACTGACATCTGACGCTGAACTATCATTATGTGCTGACAAAAATATTAAGACAATATTATTGGTGAATGCATTGCACTCCTGATATCAGAGCATTTTTATCTTGCCATTTGGGTTGGTTGCATACAATAAAATACGGTATGTAAAAATATTTTTATAGGTAAAAAAGAGCAATATAATGCAAAGGTTTTTTTAAAAAAAGAAGGCTGAATAAAGCAATGATGTAACTGGATCTTCCCTCTAAATGTAATATAAATTGTGTTACTTATGAGGACTTATTGGAACTTGTGTTACTTATGAGGACTTACTTATTGGAACGCTCAGTAAGACAATTTTGCATCCTTACTCATAAGTAAGCCTTACTAAGGCCAGTGGGACTTACTTCCAAATTAGTATGCATAGGATTGCAAATCCTTGTTAATTAAACCAGAATAGAATATCCAAAACTTACTTTATGCCTCCATGCAGAGATAACTATTATCCTCATCAATTCATAATCTTGGGGGGGGGGGAGGTGATACTTACAGATTTAGTGTTTTCTTCAGATACCTCTTCTTCCAGTGGCTCAAGCTTTAGATCCTTGCCAACA